TCGCCCAAGCGTCGCGCACCTGGAGTCGGCTTTGGTTCCCAGTAGCTGCCCATCCATAGACGACCGCTGAACATGCTCAAGCTCGGGTGTTACTTATGTGTCGGGAGGGCGGGTGGGAGTGAGCTAGACGGCTTGCGGGCGGCAGGTGGGTAGCTTGACCCCTCCCCCTACCCCCTCCCCTGGACCTGGTCGGAGGGTTTCGCGAGCGGTCAGGGCGTCTAAGATAGCCTGAGATGGCTCCAAGAGGGCCTCAGAGAGCCCAAGATGGCTTTGAAGATCGCTCAAGATAGCCCGACATGGTCCAAGATAGCTAACAACACGCCCTAAGAAGGCCACAAGACGGATCCAAATACTTTTGGCAACCCCTCATAACCTCCCCGAGAAGCCAAAATCCTTCAATTATCCTGGCGAAGGACCCTACCATATGCAGTTGTGGGTCGCGCAATTGTGAATATCTTTTTCGGTAAGGCTGGGGCCACGAAGCGCTGCACTGGGTGGGGGGGAACGCTGTACTGGGTGGGTGGTATGCCAAATTGAGTTTTCCTATGGGCTCCCTATTGGTGTACTGGGGGCTTCGGTGGAGCTCCCTATGGGGCCACGAAACGCTGTACTGGCTATGGGAAAATGCCACATTGGGTTTCCGGGACGCATGCTGACTGTCCCACTGGGGGCTTCGGTGGAGCTCCCTATGGGGCACGAATAGGTGTACTGGGTGGGTGAAAATGCCAAATGAAGTTTCCGGGACGCATGCGGACGGTCCCACCAGGGGCCTCGGTGGAGCTCCCATGGGGCCACGAAGCGCTGTAATTACAGGGTGGGTGGACATGCCACATTGGGTGTGCGAGACGCATGCGGACGGTGGCACTGGGGCCTTCGGTGGAGTTCCCTATGGGGCCACGAAACGCTGTGCTGGGTGGGTGAAAATGCCAGATTGCGTGTTTCGGGACGCTTGCGGACGGTCCCACTGGGGCCTTCGGTGGAGCTCCCTATGGGGCAACGAAGCGCTGTACTGCGTGGGTGAAAATGCCACATTGGGGCCTTCGGTGGAGCTCCCTTTGGAGCAACGAAACGCTGTACTGGGTGGGTGAAAATGCCACATTGGGTTTTCGGGACGCATGCTGACTGTCCCACTGGGGGCTTCGGTGGAGCTCCCTATGGGGCCACGACACGCTGTACTGGGTGTGCGGGACGCATGCGGACGGTAGCACTGGGACCTTCGGTGGGGCTCCCTATGGGGCCACGAAGCGCTGTAGTAGGTGGGTGAAACGGGGAGGAGGGGGAGGAGGGCCACGAAACGCTGTACTGGGTGTGCGGGACGCATGCGGACGGTAGCACTGGGACCTTCGGTGGGGCTCCCCATGGGGCCACGAAGAGCTGTACTGGGTGGGTGAAACGCAGGGAGGAGGGGGAGGAGGGAGGAGGGAGGAGGGGGAGGAGGAGGAGGATGATTAGGAGAACGCGGGGCGCGGTGTCTTCAAAACGAGGACCCAACACTACAGGATGGTTGGGAACAACCGAAGGAAAATCAATGATCTGTGCCTTCTCGCCCTTTCGCTTCCGATGCGCTTTTGAAGCTAAGATGACCCAAGAGAGCTTCAAGAAGGGCCCAAGAGGCCCCCAATATTGCCCCAAGAGCGCCCCAATAGGGCCCCAAAAGCACCCCGACAAACTATTTTTCGATGGCCCAGAAGAGGGGACTAAACGTTAGTACCCCCCTCTTTTCACCGACACCCTCCACGACAGCCCCAAGAGGCCCTCCAGGGCTCCCAAGCGGCCTTCAAATGAGCCCCAAGAGAGCTCCAAGAGGGCCCCAGGAAAGCCGCAAGAGCGCCCCGAGACTCAAGAGCTCCAAGCGAACTCCAAGACCCAGATCTCTCTGTTCACCCTGATTACTCGCTTTGTTTCACTAAATGTGTCTCTTCGTCGCCTTTCCGGTCAGCTCTCATGGGCAGGGCTTCTGAAAGGGCTGGTGGGGGTTCGCGAAGCGTAAACAATTGTTTAAGCCTTCCCCGAACACACACACACACACACACACCCACACCCACACCCACACCCACACCCACACCCACACCCACACCCACACCCACACCCACACCCACACCCACACCCACACCCACACCCACACCCACACCCACACCCACACCCACACACACACACACATACACATACACATACACATACACACACACGCAACACACGCAACACACACACACGAAAAAAAAAAGCTCGCGGAAGGCGCGATGGTTTGGAGAAGTTCCGCCGTCTTCTGAGAAAGCTTTTTCCTTCTCACTTCCCCCCCTCGCTCGCCGCCGAAAACAACCAACCGGCCAACCAAACAACCAATCAACCAACCTGCCGCCAATCAACCAACCTACCGACCAACCAAACGACCAACCCACCAACCCGCCAACCCAAACCAGCTGGCCCACCAACTAACCGGCCAATCAATCAACCGGTCAACCAACCACATGTCAAACAAGCAACCAACCAACCCCAATCTGGCAGCATTTCCTGAAGATGTCTTACACGGCGGGGCCTGGACTGTTTTGGCAAACTGGTCCCTTGTTCGAACACTGCTCCCCCGAACAACGATCAAGCATCGGGCAATATCGAATCGTCAAAGAGTCGAAATCTCATCGGATCAGGCCAGCCGAAGTGGGAAACCAATCGGCTCGATCGGATGGATGCTTCCTGCAAGAGCAGAGTCTCGATCTTCAAATCTTTTGAGCAGGGACCGACCGTCCTGGAATTCCTATAGTACTACCACGACATGTTCTTAGAACCCAGACACATTCCAAAAACAAAAACAATGTTCGTAGATCATTTACCCGACGTGTTAAAACATGACGGTCCCAGCCAGAAATGTTTTAAGAACACTTCGTGGAAACCACAAAAGGATCTTAGAACATTGTTTCGTAAGCCTATAACTAAGCACGCGAGGACGCTTCGCCACTGCTTGCATCCTACTTCCTGGAGCACCCGGCTGCCGACCTGCTCGAGGGTACGTCGCAACGCGCATCTCGGCGGCACCCGGAGCGCACCCTTCCAGCGGAACGCAGCGATCGCGAGCCGCTGGCAGCGCACCGGCAACAGCTCACACAGCAGCCACGGCGTTGGTTTTCTGACCCCGCGTGCATCGTTCAGGCGTGCACCGGCAGCTTGCCGTCGCTCGCACGTCCATCCCCCGTGCATTGTTCGGTTTCGTGCGTGTTTTTTGGCTCGATGGTCCAGGAGGCAAGCAAGACTGGTCTACTCTGTAAGAACGGTTTTTTGAAGGCAGATCTGCCTTCAAAAAACTGGTCTACTCTGTAAGAACGGTTTTTTGAAGGCAGATCTGCCTTCAAAAAACCGTTCTTACAGAGCAGACCAGTCTTTCCTCTTTGAAGGCAGATCTGCCTTCAAAAAACCGTTCCTACAGAGTAGACCAGTCTTTCCTCTTTGAAGGCAGATCTGCCTTCAAAAAACCGTTCCTACAGAGTAGACCAGTCTTTCCTCTTTGAAGGCAGATCTGCCTTCAAAAAACCGTTCTTACAGAGTAGACCAGTCTTTCCTCGATTGCCCTCGCCGAGGAAAACAAAGCACACATCCGAGCGATGCCAAGGCAGCGGCTGTCCGATCGCCAGGCCGTTCCATCGCCAGGCCGATGCCGGGCCACCAGCGGCGTGCTATAGCCTGGCACGCCCGCGGCGAGGCCGCTTTTGCCGCCGCGCCGACGCGACGCGGCGCTGCCGCGCCTGCTTGCAGCCTGCAGCGGTTCACCGTCATCGCCAGCACCAGCATCGTCATCGCCGTCAACATCAGCTCTTCGTCATCATCGTCATCGCCACCACCATCATCGTCATCGCCACCACCATCATCGTCATCGCCATCAGCAGCCACAGCGGTTCACCATCATCGTCATCGCCACCACCATCATCGTCATGGCCGTCGGCATGGCCGTCCTCATCCTCTGACAGAATCAGCCTCTTGCGTCCGCCAGCCATCACCACCCCCAGCGTCTCGGAAGCGAACAGGGGGGAAGGGGGCAAATGGCATGGATGAGGGCGAAAGAGACCGGAGCAGCGGGAACGTAAACAAGGGGGGGGGCTGGACCTCTTCCTGAGGAACGCGCCGTAACCTGAACACTATTCTCGACGGTCCCGCGGCCGAAAATTGCCCAAACCCGAGGGCCCCCCAAACCAGAAAAAGTTAAAACCTTCCGTTTGGTTACCTCACGCAGCGAGGGGGCAAAGGGGGGGGGAAACTGGAGAGAGGGGAGGTGGAGAGGGAGGGATTGCACAGAGCAGGGGCGGCAGAAGGAAGCAGGAGGGGGGGCCGAGCCGCTCGAGAGAACGCTGGCGCTACGGCTGCGGCCCGAAGCGGGCCCCGGACGTGGGTCCAACACGGCGGGACACCTGGATCTCGCCCATCAGGCCCCCCCCCTTTGGAGGCGCCCGAGGCGGGCCAGACGATGCGGCCACGACCGACGGCAACCGGGCACTGCGACGCCCTCCGAAGTGTGGCCAGAAGGGGGGTGGGGGCGAGGTTGGGGGAGAGCGGAAGGGACATGTGGCGAGGAAAGGATGCGGGATCGCAACACTTCGGACGATAATCGCCCAGGCCCCGACGAATGCGCGGGCGGGAACGTGATTTTCCTCGCGATGCCCACATGCCGGGGGCCACGTCCCCCTCCCACTTACTTCTTTCCTGGCGCTCTTTTCTTTCAGGGCGACCAATCCACGTACATCTCGATCCACCGGCTGCCGATATACCCGCGCTGGCGCGCCTTGCGTGCGGTCCGCAAAAAGAGCAATGCAGCATCTGACCGTGCTGTGGCCTGCTGCCGCTCCCCATTCCCCCACCCCTCCTTCCGACCCCTCCCCCGTTCCCACTCCGCCCGCCCTTCCCCCTTCCCTTGTGATCCTTCCTCTTGTCCCGCACTGTGTGCGTTCCGTTCCAGCGCTCCCCTCCCTGTGATCTGGACCGCCCCTTCCCCCCCCACGCGCCCGATTTCTGTTTCACCCCCATCCCCAGATGGCTGGATAGTTGTCCGGAGATGGCAACATTGTACTTGAGCGAAAAGGGCGATACCGAACGCTGTCGCCTGTTTAAACATATGTTCCTCGAGGCGCGGGGCGAATACTTTACCACCCACTTTGCCGTATCAGGCCGTGAAACACACCGGAAGTAACTACGCAGCCAGAAGCGGAGTGTGCGGAGTGAAAGTAGAGCGAGTTTGGCAAGTGAGCGGCGTGCAGAGGCCAGGTCTCCAACCTGACATGTCAAGATATTATATAAAAAGCGAGTCGTGCGAAACTAGCGCAAGCAAAACGACTATGATTTGAGCCGCGCATGACGGTCCACATTTTCTGCAGTGTACGCTAAATCGCATTGGCAAGCACCTGGGTCTCAACCGATCCTGAACTCAAATCTCCAGAACAACGGCACACGATGGCAACCCAAAAATGGATTGAGCTGCGCTCTGTGGGTGCCAGCTCGTCTTCCGCTAGCGAGGTGTTGATTGGTGCCTCGCACGCACAAAGACCGATCACCTTTGCTAATGTGTTGCTAGAGCGCCTGCCATATTCTAATTGGTTCCTACTTTGATCATGTCGGCGTCTCCTCGGAGCACCAGTTCTTACAGACGAGAGTGACAAACCTGAATGTGTCTGACTTCTTGTGGTCCTCACCAGCTCGCAATAACAATGACGGCGCCAGCGACGCTCCTTAACGCGATGCTGCCATCAACGTCGAAATACTTGCGAACTGCTAGCAAGCCTAACGTTGCTAAGCCACCCTTCACCATTCTATGCGTTGCCGCCCCAGACGATCGCGCCGCTGCGCGCTCAGCCGACCTCCGCGACTCTATGAAACGCAATCCTCACATCGATGTTCCTCCACTTTTTGACGATGCGTCCGCTTGCGCCATCCGCGTCGGTGCACGCCGTTAACTCCTGAGGGCGCTCCTGATACAAATATTGATGTCCACGCCTGTCGTGGTTCCTGAGATACTTGTCTGGCTCCGCGACGCTCTTCCATACCCGCCGGGTCGGGGCTGATATAGCGCGCGCAAGTTCATCGACTGACAACTGCCCGCCCGAGCGGCACATTGCAATATACTTGGATAGAGCCACCGAAGCTTGGCATGTCTTAACTTCATGACTTGGCGGGGGCCCCTTGCGCTGTACTTCGAAACGATGGATTTCACCTTGTATCTGACCTCTCAGATTGCATCGGTCCAAGCGTAGTTCCCCAGCGCGTACCTCAGCGCGCCTTTAGCCCGACTCGCGCCAGAACTCGCCCTGGCTCCATGGCAAGGCTCGGCTGATAATCCTGATTGACTGCAAAGTCTCCGGGCCCAAGTGTTGGTCAACCAAGCGAAGTAAAATCATCCCCAACGCACTGTTGACCAGATCCGCCTGGTCATACGTTTGGTCACGCATTGGGGCGCCTCCCAACTGCCAAACCCTCGACGCGCAACCCCAAAGCTCCTGGCAGCATCCCGAGCGCCGTACAATGACTTCAAAAATTGCCCACGCATGCCCGCTGAACGACCTTCCTCAGGTAAGCAGGTGACGGTATCCCTGCAGGGCTTGCAACGAATGCCTGCCCGTCGAAATGCGATGGCGCCGACCCTTGGCTCTCCTGCCCCCCCCCGCGGCGATGTCTTTCCTTCGGTGACAGTCACAGAGCACAACCATGCCACTGATGACTGATGTCATTATTATTCGAATCTACTCCATTTGTTGTGTTGAAACACAGGCTGGGATCGGCGCTCAAGATGGGCCTCGGCCGTTTTGCCGACGTCGGCCCACCTCGTGCCAATGGGGGCCTTGCCAGCAACCGCCAGGCATTCTGCGTTCGCGATGAACTATGCGCGTCGCCCCGGGCAACCGACCGCGCCCCCCCCGCGTCCCCGCGCGCCTCGCGCGCCCCTGGAACTTCTAATCGCCCCGGGCGTTGGCGCTCTCCGCGCGGCCATTGGCGAAACTGAAATCGTCGGTAGCGCGGTCGGTGCTGTTAATGGCTCTGCTGCTCGCCCCCCCGCGGCCCCCCCCCCCCCCCGCCCCTCTCCTCGAGCCCCGCCACTGGGCCCGCAGGCCAGAGGCCTTGACTGGGCACTGCCACTGGCGAGATTACTCTGGTCCAAGATTCCACTCCGAGCGCGTTTGGGCACGGTTGCCAGGGCAACCCTTCCAGGTTGTCGACCTCATGTAACTTCCATGTTCCATCATAACTCCCTCTGCGCTTGAATTCGCCAGGCTCGGTGGCGACCTCTGGAGCGCCTTCGATTGGCGCCCGGTTCGTTCCGGGCATCCCTCGCAACAGTACGCCGACGGAGACCCCGCATGAAAATCCCCGGGCTGATCCTGCAAATGACCTTCACTGTCGTCCTCGCGATTAGTGTGGCGCCCACAATGTCTTCTCCGTGTCATTCTCATTCTCGTCATGTCGCAGGGCCCTCACCCGCCCCCCGCGTTGCCATTGACTCGCCCCCCTGTTGTTTGTTTCGTCGCCCACCGCCTCCTCTCCCGTCTATTTCAAGGGCGCGCGCGCCGATTATCCCCGACGCCGTCGCCGCCTCGGCCAGCGCGGGCGAATTCTCGAATGGCCGCGTCGCGCGGCCGCCGGGGCAATTCCGCGGGCCAGGCCGTCGGGGCAGTCGCGCGAGCCGCTGGGGCGCGGGGCCAAGCCGTTGGGGCAACCCCGCAGGCGCTGAGCTAGTCACGGCCGCGCTCAAGCGGGAGGCAGCACGAAGCCAATCTCTGCAGCGAGCTGCTCGGCCTCGCCCCTGGAGCCCCCCGCTTTCTCACCGAACTTCTCGAGCGCCTTCCGCAAGGCGCCCTCGTCTGAGACATCCTCGCAGTTCACGCGCAGGCGAGGCCCCCGCCTGACGCCCCCCCCATATTCAAGCCTCAGGGGTCCAAATGTGACGACAATTACAAGTTCGAGGATGACCCGCTCGAACTAAAAACATGAAGCGCGGGCCTCATAAGGCGCGGGCCCGCGCCTGACTTCCTCGCCATTCACTCGCAGACGAGCCCCCCGCCTGATACTTCCCGCGCGTTCAGGTCTCAGGAACCCACGAAGTGACGGCAGTTGTAGGTCCGGGGATGACCCGCTCGGATTTTCGGCGATTAACAGCGCGAAGCGCGGGCCCCATAGGGAGGGCCCCCTCCTGGGAGAGACGCCCTTGCAATTCGCGCACAAGCGAAGCCGCCGCCTGACACTTCCTGCGCGCCCGGGCCTCAGGAGTCCAAAAGTGACGACAATTACTGGTTCGACGATGACCCGCTCGGATTAGAAGGACAAGAAAAACATGACCTGAGGGCCTCATATGGAATGGACCCCCGCCTGAGACTTCTTTGCAGTTCTCTCGCGCACGAGCCCTCCGCCGGATGCTTCCCCCACATCCAGGCCTCAGGGGTCCAAACGTGGCGCCTGCTACAGGTTCGAGGGTGGCCCGCTCGGGTTGCCAACGCGAAGTGCGGGGCCCGTTGGGGGGGGAGGGGGGGGGGGGGGGGGCGCCTGAAACTTCCTCGCACTGTGTTCCTGTGCGGTGTGTCCGGGGAAAACAAGACCCCCACTTTGTACGTGGGGAATGGTGCTGAGTGATGGGGGAGCGCGCGCGCGTGGTGCGCGACAGAGTAGAACGATACTGGCGGCGGTGGTGATGCTGATGATGATAATCGGTGGTCGGCGTTGGCGGTGATCGATGGAGACTGACTAAGAATGATGATGATGGTGGTGATGGTGATGACCGATTGTGATGATGACCGATGATGGGGCGAATACATGAGTGAGGCGGAAAGTGGGAGGGAGGTGAGGTTCCTGCGCGGAGGGTGTTCATTGAAAACAAGAACCCCACTTTGGACGTGGAGAAACACACACACACGACGCCCCTACCTTGCTTCGCGGTCGTTGCCTCATATCGATCTTGAAATTGGTCTTCAGCGGAGTCTTCAAGTGCATGGCGCATTCCCCAACATCGAGCAACGGTTTGTTGAACATCCACCCTCGGCACCTATCGCAGGCCGCCTTGCCATCGGCGCGCAGCGTAAATTTGTGAATTTTTGAAGCGAAAAGACGAAAAAGTCTGAACCAATAACCAGGGTAGCACGGCATGTTTTTCACTGAGTTCAAGGCTCAATGTATCGTCCAACGCGTTCCGTCAAGTCCAATGTGGACCTAGCCGTCCTGGTAACCCGTTCGGCCTCGCCACCGTCTTGGAGATCTCTGGCCCGATTCGCTTCTACCCCCGCGATGAGGTCGCGGGGGGACTTCCGCGGCATCCCTGAACGCCACAACTGAAGACCCCCCATCGTTTTTGAGGATCACTCTGTCATGTCCGGTGGGGAAATCAAATCCAACCATATCGTACCTCAGCGGGGACCCGCGCAACTTTCTCATAAACCTCGTCCCCAGGCTAACGTAGTGTCCTGGCAGTGCACGGCGATGATAGAATGCCCTGCCTACCTTTCCGCTGGGCCGTATGTAGTCGACAAAGATCACCGACGCACCTTGCCCTCGCACCCTGAATTTCTCAATGCGCGGCCGCGCCCAGGCTTTCCCCCTGGCGCAGCAGGCGCGCCAGCTACGGTGAAGCAAAATAACCTTATTATGCAACTCGGCCGCTAATCTGGCAGGTCTCGGACTACGCGCAAGCTCTTTAGGTGCCCCGGCCTCCTCGCCGACAAACAATTTCTCCACGTCGCAGAACGCAATGCCTCCATCCTCGCCATGCTCTTCCTCTGGATCCAAAGCGATTGGATTTCAATGAAGCTTGCGGGCGCACCCGGGCTCAGTGGAACAGGTCCACCATGGGAGTTCCCTGCCTGGGAAAAACCCCGCATCTCCCACCGCTAACTTCCAAGATGTTCTTCGTCTTCGGTCGACCTGTCGCGCCTGGGCCTGGATGGTGCATTGGAGAACGCTTCGAAGTATGACGTGACGCCCCCCCCCCCCCGCCCGCGCGGCTCCGGCACCGCAGCCGCGCCGCGCGCGCGACGACGATGGGAAGCAAACGGCGAACGACGACGACCACAACGCGAGAAGCACGCAGGTGGCGAGCTGCCCCACCACGCCGATGTACACCACAGTGGTCGCGCGCGACACATTGCGCGCGTGCGCCGCAGCGCCTGCGCGCGCCCCGACAACCGCATGCAACGCAGCGACTGCGTACGCCACAGCGATTGCAAGCACCACCAAAACGCCAGTGCACACCACGCCGAATGTGCACACCGCAAGAATCATGTGCACCACTGCGTCTGTATATACCACAATGCTTGCGTGCACCGCAGCGCCTGCGCACGCAGCAGTGCCTGCCTACACCGCGGCACCCGCGTGCAATGCGTTGCTGGTGCACCCCGCAGCGCCTGCGCGCGCCGGACCTGTAGAACGAGCACGTCGGCGAGGATCGGCCGTGGCCCTGGGCGGCCCGCCGGCCCGCCGCCGCGCGGGCCACCGCCGCCACTTTGGCCAGAAAGAAGGGAAAAGAAAAACGGGGAGGGGGAAAAAGGGGGAGGGGGAACAGGAGGAGGAAGAAAAGTTCTCACCGGGAACACAAAATCACAACTTCGGATCCCTATGCGACTCCCAGTGCGGGCCCCCATGCGAATTCCCATGCCGATCCCTAGGCGGGTCCTTATGCAGATCCCTGCGTGGATCCCTGTGCGGATGCCCACGCAGATCCCGATGCGGATCCCGATGCAGATGCCTATGTGGATGCCCGTGCGCATTGCCACGCGAATCCCTGTGCGAATCTTAATGCGGATCTTTACGCGGATCCCCATGCGGATGCGCGTGCGCATCCCGATGCGAGTCCAAATGAATTTCACAATGCGGAACAGACGCATATGCGGAATCCTGCGCGGACACCTATGCGCGCGGCGGCATGGGTTTCGCATGCAGAGGCCTATGCCCAGGAGAGCACGGTAACAACTTTCGTTGTCATGCCCCTGTCATGGCCCCTCAGCGGCGCCGCGTTAACTTCCTTGTCAGGCCGCATCCGTCGCCGCCAGCTGCAGCGCAGCGCCCTGTTGCATCATATTTTTCTCCTTCTTGATGCATTTTGTGACCCCGCTGTCCCAATTTGTGTTTTGGTCACAATAACGCCGCGCCCTAGCCCCACCTCCCCGTTCCTCCTCGCTGTTTCTCGGTGCTGCGCCCTCCACTCACGCGCCCCTGTCGACTGGCGCCAATGCCGCGACGTCGCTGACAACTACGCCTGCGTCAGTGGCTTCGCCCATTTCGACGCTGCAATATCCAACTTCGCCCACGTCGGCGCTGAAGCATCCCTGTCAAAGTATGGATTGCCGTAGCGTGTGCGCGGGTTCTCCTGTGCATCCTGCCGCCGTTAGCCCGAGGTGACCTCGTTGGCGTTCCTAGAGCAACGTGCTACAATGTGATCATGTTCGCCGCACATGTAACACTCCCTCCCACTGATCGGCACAACTCCTCGCTGACACCCCTCCTTTCCATGCAAGGGTTTGGTTCCGTTGGTAACCTCCTGAAAGACTCCTTGTAACCACTTTTGGCGCAACCCCCGGGTAACCGTTGGTGCCCTGGCACCCACTTTTGCATTGTCCTAACTGCGTTCCTTGGCAACCTCCGGCGCCTTTGCACGCCCCAGCCCCGCCTTCTCTCCATCGCGCAGTTTTTGGCAGTCGGCCCAGATCCTCCACAGTTGCGAAACATGGACTATGTTACCATTGCCGATTCCATGAGTAACTTCGTTCGCGCTTCCACACATGTCGCCCCGCCCGTTTCCACCATCGCCATAGCAACCGCACTCATTCACGTGTGCGCCCCACCCCCCAATACCTTCATCGTTCACTTGGCCGATATCCACGGGTGCTCCGTTTGTTTTGCGCATCCGCGTCAAATGTTTTCTGTGTTGGTCCAATCTTCGCACTTGATGATGGGTTTCCGGTAAAGCTCGATACTTCATCAGGGCGGCTTGAAGCCATCCTACTGCCAGTTGACAAACCAGGTGGGCCACGCAGATCCTCAGAACAATAACCCTGAGCGGAACGGGTCACGAGTGTGCATCCCCGAACTTTTCGAAGGATTCCACCACTGGACTTCGCTCTTCCAATTGGGTCGCCACGTCGTTAACATCTTTGAATTGATTTGTAGCCGCCGAATACCACCTATGCGTGGCGCCCAGCAGTTGCGGATGCTAGTGAAGGGGCGGCGGGCGAGTCGGCAGTCTGCGAGGCTATCAAGACGCCCGCCGCAAGCGCCTCATTTTTACAAACATGCCACGAGCCCACCGCAGGCGCCGATTGTCTGTCAACGCCGTGTGGGTGGGTCGCGGGGTGGATCGCATCGCGGGTGGGTCGCGGGCGGGTCGCGGACCGGGTCGCGGGTGGGGCGCCGGCAACAAAAAACACAAACAACGCACCACCACCACCATCAACAACAACAGCAACAAAAACCAATCCGCGCCGCGGGGCCTCACTTCAGACACGCGCCCAGGGGGCAGTGAATGACCGTTCGGCCCCCGCGCCATGATATTGTTGGTAAGCTATTGAGCTGTCCCCCATGTGCAACTTCCTTGATTTTTGGCGGTGGTTCTGTCCCTTCCAATATCTCGGTGGGCGAAAAGAAAATGTCCTCGCCCAAATTTGCGCAATCGGAGCTCGCACTATCCTTGAACATCGTTTTCTTGCAGCTTGGTTCGTGGCGTTTTGGTGCATTCGCTCAGGGTAACCCCCCGTTCAACTGTTGGCCCCACTCCCTGAAATTAGCCCGGTCACCCGGGAACAAAGCGAACTCTTGAGCGGCCGTGTATTCGCTAACTCGTTTGCTGCCACTACATCTGGATCTCGTGCTTCCAGCGGACTGTACATCTTCGGCGGTCTGAATAACATGTTCCGCGGCATTCGCCTGACATTGACATGCTGTATGAATACATGTTCCCGAATTGCGGGGGCTCCCCTCGCAATACATGTTGCGGCTGAAGACCGAGCTCGGAAGAGCAATTCTCCTCCAACTTATGATCCACATCGTGGATGCCTCATCCTCGTCAAACGTCCGGGTGGCAACAACCTGGAATCTGCGTCCTCCTACACCCCTTTAACGTGGCAGATTGGCAAACCCCTGACTTAACCTGACCCAGGCACTGTCGACACTGCGCCAAAGCTAACCTGACCCATTCAAAACAACGTGACCAACGGCTCGGCAACACCAGTGTGTCACGCGCGCGCTGTAGCAAATGACGGACCAGAATGGGGCGACACAGCAACATGCTCAATGAAGGATGTCGCCAACGCCTACGCGAGAGCAGCATTTCATTCAGACATTTGGCTGGCGCCAAGGCGAACACGACATTCTCAATGAAGGACGTCGCTGGCGCCTAAACGGCATCTGCATTTTCGATCAGAGGTGTGGCCCACGCACACGCGAGAACAACGCGCTCAATGAAGGATGTCGCTGGCGCCAGGGCGGCAGCAACATGTTTAGAGAGATGCGGCCCACGCGCAAGCCAGAGCATCATTCCGAGACACGCGCGTCGCCATAATGCAAGTGTTACGCCCATTCCGCGCGGGCCGGGCTCGGGGTCACCGAGGTCCGGATTACGTTAAGTGGGTCGTCCACGTTAGCGGGGGTTGTAACCAACGTTGCACGTTTACGCGCATCGGTCTGTGCCTAGATTGTGCTAGTCCTCGCGCGCTTCAATTAACGATGCATTGTAGACTGGGTCGTTGTTGCCGGGGCCTGCTGGGGTCGCCGCAACAGCCGCCAATGCCATCTCTGCTGTGGAACCCGTAGGGAGAACCACAGGTTCCGATACCATGAAAAGCTTGTCTGAGCTTTTTCAAAAAGGCAAGAGGGTATTTGAGCCAGAATGGGCAATACCGAATGTTGTCGCCTACGCCTGGGTAGCCAGCTGTTCCTCCAGGCGCGGGGGGCGAACGCTGTAGCACCTTCTTTTTCTCTTTCTTTCCTCCTGCTGCTGATCTTGTTTCTCCATCTCCATCCCTCCCTCCTCACCCTCCTCCTGCTCCTCCTGGCCCTTTATATCCTCAGGGTGGCGACTTCTCCTCGTTCTCCCCCTCACCCTCCACCGAATATCGCGGTCCCTCCATCCTTCCCCCGTCCTTCTTCCCTCTTTTACTCCTCCTCCTCCTGTTATACGAACCAGTCTTATGATTTGTTTATTCCCCCTCATCCTGCTCCGCCTCCTCCTCCGCCTCCTCCTCCTCCCTCCAAGAATTTCTTAAAACCGATCGAGATCCGACATCCTGTGTGAACCGCCAGCAACCTCTGGAAACGATCCAGCCGAACCGCCGACCCGCCCTAAAGGTTCACATTCCTTTCGGACAACCGCCGCTCGCCGTCGTCGACGCCACCGCGTTTCGCCGCCGCCGCTGGCGCTACTGCCGCCGCCGTTGTCATCGTCGCCAAACCAGAACTGGTCAAGCTCGGTTCCAGGACCCGTCCTGGAGTCCACCCTGGCTAGCTGTTGTTCGCGCCGCGAGCAGCCGTGGCGACGAAAACTCAAGGGATCGTCCTGCAGCCCCAGAAACACAGACGTCGACGTCGACGTTGTCTCCGTCGCCACCGTCGTCTCGTCGTCGCCGTTGTTCGTCGTCATTTTCGACCCTCGTCGCCGTCGTCGACACCGCCGTTGTTCGTCCTGGTCGCCGGCCACCGCCGCCGCCGCCGCTGTCGTCGTCTACGGCAGGTACGTGTCGTGACGACCCCGGTGTTGGTTTCTGACTCCGCGTGGATCGTTCAACCTCAAACAATCGGCGGCTTTTCGATCGCCCGATAGTTCCATCTAGGCCGATTGTGGGCCACAGGCGGCGTTCAACTTTGAACGCCCGTGGCAGTGTCGCCGCCGGACGACACGACGCGAACCTACCGTACTTCCTCGTCATCGCTGTCACCCTCTTCTTCGTCGCCGCCGTCGCCGCCGACGCCTGTCCTGGCTGCCGCCAAACCTCGCCGGTGTCGTCGACGTCGCCGCATTTCGACATGTCGTCGCCGTCCAAGTGGCGCGGGAGAGTGCCCAACATAGACTCGAACAACTGATCTGCCAGTGTACACGCCCAAAGGCTGCCACAGCCCACGGCACGAGTGAGCAAGCAAGCGTCGACGTCGCCCTCTTCGTCGTCGCTGGCGCCGTCGACGACGTCGCCGTCGAACCCGTCGCCGCCGTCGACGTCGCCGCCGCATCTCAACGCCAGCGTCGGCGTCGCCCTGCCGCCGTCGCCGTCGTCAACGCCGTCGTCGCCGTCGACGTCGACGCCGTCGTCGGCTCCCGTGGCCGACGACGTGGCCGACGCCGTGGCCGACGCCGTCGCCGATGCCGTGGCCGACGCCGTGGTCGACGCCGTCACCGTCGACGCCGTCGACGCCACCGTCGCCGACGTCGACGACGCCGACGCAGCCGGCGCACCTCGCGGGCCCTGCACGCCTCCTCCCAGTCGCGGAAGTAGACCAGCGCCTGGCCCGTGGGCAGGCCGTCCGCGGCGCCGCGCAGGAGCTCTACCTGTGCCGCTCGGGTGCGCCGGCGCCCCCCCCGCTCAGCGCCGCCAGGGGAGGCGCGGGTGCGGGGGACTCGGGTGTAGGGGGCCTCATGCGAACCCTGCCCCTACCCCGCACGATTTCTGAGGGGGAGGGTGGGGTTCACTTCGCTCGGGAGCTCCCGTGCGACGTGAACCCCACCCTCCCACTCAGAAATCGCGGGGGGTAGGGGCAGGGTTCGCATGTGGCCCCCTAGGGTTGGCCTGACGGGGCCATCATGAAAACGACGGGGCCCAATCTGAAGCTTGACGCAGATTCCCACAGCAAATATGCCACGAAAACTGGGCCGTGGAAATCCGGGGCACGCTCGTCAAAAACGTCGGCACACCTGGGTTCCGGCTCAGTCGAATCTCATGCTTCCCCAATCCGCCCTCGCTCGATCGACCTCCCCGGCTGCACGCAAGAGTGACACCAGGCAAAAATGATGCTTGGTGCGCGGCTTTAGGGGTTCCGCGGGGCTGCGCACAAGATGGGGGATCCACACCAACCTACCGCTTGGTCGGCTTCCAGGCGTCACCGATCATGCGCACGTGCCTCGCCAAAGGTCGTCCTGCTCCTCCTCGTCGAGCTGGAAGGCGGGCACACGCTGATCTTGGTCAGGGTTCCATGGCGCGCGTGGGCGCCTGATCCACGGATCGGGGAAGATACCCCCCGAAGCATGGAGCAATTGCTGCCTCATTTGGCTACGGCGAGCGTCGATTCTGTAAGGACACACGGCCCGTCGCTAATCCACGCGCCTGAACCCATGTTTGCGCTTCCTCGGGGCAACTTGGCGACGCCAACGAAGGCGAGGATGCTGACAACAACGAGGGCAGGGCCCCCGACCCTCGGTCTCAACCTGTCGGTCTCAACTTTTCGGGCTTAAGCACCTCGTCGTCGTCATCCTCATCCTCATTCTATACGCTGGCCAGACTCTGAGCATGATGCTCGCAGCGCTGGTGTGGCACATGGTGCAGAACAAACATACCGACTGAGGACAATGCTGGACACAGTAAAGCAAATTAGGCGGCAGGCCCGTGCGGACACAGGACATACAAAGAGTGAGGGTAAAAAACTGAGTGCCCAAAAGCAGCGCAGAGTAACGGTGCCTGCCGCCGATGTGGAGGGGAAGAGAGGTCGAACACACGAACACTCCTCCTCCTCCTCCTCCTCTTCCTCCTCCTCCTCCTCTTCGTCAACGCGTTCGAATCCTTCTCCACCTTCGCCGTCGACCTCGCCCTCGTTGCCCTTTCTCCTTCTGCCTGGCCGAGGCCGTGCACGGCGACGACAGAACCAACAAAAACGATCGCGGCCGACAGCAGAATCGACACCGACCAACGCCGACCAACGAACCTGACCTGGATCGAGTCTCGTGATCGGATCACTCGCCACCGCTCGGACGTCCGTTTCCCGTGCATCGTTCGGTTCCGTGCGCTTGTGCTTTGCAGCGTGGACCAAGATGCTTCTCGATGGCCTTCGCTGGGGGAAATGCACACGCCCGAACGATGGCAAGATCTTGTGGGAAACGGATCGGACCGCACCCGAAGCGGCGCGAACGCAAATCGTGATAGGGAGCATGCAGGATCGCGGCCCAGGCTCGGCCCTACGCAGGCTGGAAAAGGAAGTGAGCTCCCTTCGGATCGGATCGAGGTCGGCTCTGGAGCTTAGGGAGCGGCTCGGGTCGAGTCGGACCGCGTGCAGCCCTGACAGGCCGCAGGCAGCCCAGAAAAGGGCGCAGCCACGCAGCAGCGACACGACAAGCGACCGAACCGAACCGACCCAACGCAGCCGACTGCGACGAAACCGAACCAACCGAGGCGCGGACACCCTTGTCGGCACCCCTCGTCGCCTTCGTCCTCGACATCACCCTCGTCGTCCTGGTCTTCCTCGTCGAGCTGACAAGGAGAGGACGAGGGCGATGCCGTTGGTCACGCCAGCGGCGACGACGACGACGACAACGACGACGAGGACGCTGCACTAGACCTTCGACGTTGAACGCTCGAACTGTTGCATGTGGATAATCCAGGTATGTGCACGGGCAACCGTATGATAAGGACGCACGAGAAAGATGCAAGGGCATTGGAAGGCCATGCCGACAGTTTGCGAGCGGGGCGCGACCTGCGAAAGCGGACAAGAATGGGCCGACAGAGAAGGAGACAAAGGCAATGTTGAAAAATTGCTAGTTCTTACTGGGCGGGTTGACTGTATACATCAGGAGGTCGGTCGAGGATCTATCTGGTCTCAGAGCGCGGCAAGGATGTGAGGGGCCCAGGGACAGGATTTGAAGGATCTTGGTCCCTGCTGAGGTGTACCCTCAACCCTCGAGGTTCGAGCAGACAAGTCTTCGGATATGTTTGAGATGGCTCAGTGAACGTGTCTGGGCCTCCAGAGTCCGGCGTTGCTAGAAGTCCTCCTGGCCCACGGTGCCCCCCGGATTTCCGTGGAGGCACCCACGGCATCCCATCCAGATCACCCCTCACGAGGTCCAGGTCCCAGGGGATCCGAAATGGAGCGAAACGCTGAGGACACCCTGGACCAGGGGCACCTTAACACCCCCCGACGGAGGCCTCTGGGAGCCTCCGGGGGTGAGGATCCGGCGCGGAAGCAACAGTCACCATTGCCTCAATCTTCGCCCTGGACATCGCCCTCGTCCTCCTCGTCAACGTCCTTCTCGTCTTCGCCGTCCAGTTCGGCATCGTCCTCGTTGGCCTCGTCATCCTCTCCCACCCTCCTCAGATCATCGACGTCCAGCTCCTCCTCCTGCCCCTGAGACAATAGAACAAGTCATGTTGGCACACACACACACACATGTCGAGACCGCGTCCAAGAGGTAGCCCTCCTCCACGACCCAGTAGTGCAGCACCTCCTCCTCCTCCTCGTTCAACTTCTCTCGCCCTCTTCGCTCGCTCTCCTTGGTTTCCTCGACCTCCTCCGCCGCCTCCCCCACCTCCTCAGATCATCGACCTCCAGCTAATCCTCCTGCTCCTCCTCATCCTGCTCCTCCTCCTCCTCCTCATTCACCTTCTCTCGCCCCTGGCGCCCTCGTCGTCGAGATCCTCGCTCCCTCTCCCTCGTTTCCTCCTCCTCCTCCTCCTCATTCTCATCCTCCTCCTCCCTCTCCTCCTCGTCCTCCTTTGACCTCGTCCTCGCCGTCCCCCCCTCCTGCTGCCCCCCTCATCCGCCCCCTCCTCCGGCCCCCCGAAGCTCTCGGGTCGTCACCCGGATCTCCAGGGCCAGCTCGTGACGCTCCGGGCCCGCCCAAAGCGCTTTCTCGGCGAGCCGCAGCCGCCGGAAGGCACCCCGAGGCCAGAAAGTCGCCGAGAGCCGACGCTAATCAACGCTAAATCGACGTCAGGCGACGCTGATCGAGGCCAATCGATGCTAAATCGGCGATACCTCATCGAGGGCCAGACGCGAAGCGACGCAAGCGCACTCTAAAAGCCAGACTTGCGAAGGTACACCCCTCCCTCCTCCCCCTCCCTCTCCAACGGGCAAGAGTGACCCTAGGCTTCAGTCGGGCGTGTCCCCCTACATGCGGGTTTTGGACGAAAAATAGAAAATACCTCAAAATACCCAAAACATCCTCAAAAATAGTCAAACAATCGTCCCCCGACTTTTTTTTGACTATTTTTGAAAATTCCTCCTGTGGAGGGACAGGCCCGACTTAACCCTAGGCAAGGGTGGCCCTAGACAACAGTGACCTTTGGTGCGCGGCTCAATGTGGGGTCGCGGGGTGGCTGCCGCTGCGCGCTCGGCGGTCGAGGGGGGCCCCTCGGGCCCGCAGCAAGGGCCACTCCAGCGGAAGGTCACTCTTGCGTCTAATCGCCTCCTCCTTCCTCCTCCTCTTCCTCCTCCTTCTCCTGAGCCTCCTGCTCCTATCCTCCTCCTCCTCCTCCTCCTCCTCCTCCTCCTCCTCGTGCTCCTCCTCCTCGTGCTCCTCCTGCTCCTATCCTCCTCCTCCTGCTCCTCCTGCTCCTATCCTCCTCCTGCTCCTATCGTCCTCCTGCTCCTATCCTCCTCCTGCTCCTCCTGCTCCCACTGCTCCCCCTGCTCCCCCTGCTCCTCCTGCTCCTCCTCCCTCCTCCACCTGCTCCTCCACCTGCTCCTCCTCCTCCTCCTCCTCCTCCTCCTCCTCCTCCTCCTCCTCCTCCTCCTCCTCCTCCTCCTGTTCCCTCCTCCCTCCCTCCTCCCCCCACCCTCCCCCGGGCGCGGGGAGGGGGGGGCGCCTCGCCCCGCGGCCCCTCTGCGAGCGCGAAGCCCTCGAAGAGCCCCCGCACGTCCTGTCTCTCTTCCTCTCTCTCGCTCTCTTTTTCTCTCTCTCTCTCTCTCTCTACCTCTCTCTCACTCTCTCTCACTCTCTCTCTCTCACTCTCTCTTACTCTCCTGTCTCTCTCTCTCTCTCTCGCTCGCTCTCTCTCTCTCTCTCTCTAACACCACTAAGCCGAGCATCTCGAAGGACGCGTGGGCAGAAGAGCGCGCGATTGGCGACTCTTCAAGAAATTAGCAAAGCGAGACGATAAGCCTCACGACTGTGCGTCAGGAAAAAATGTGCGCCCGAGAGTGAAGCAGAGCCTGGCAGCGAAGATGCGGCGGAGGAAGGGAGCAAGAGGCGCCCGACTGTGAAGCAGACACGGGCCGGCAGCCACTCTACGCACTCACGGGTGCTGGATCAGTTTGTGCACTTCTTGCGCCCGTTGTTGCCTAAGTCACCCTCGCCGCCGAGCCCAAAAAATTGGCGGCGAGCCAGGAGGGAATTGAGAAGGGGAAGGCCTCCTCGGAAGGCGGTGGGACTTCTTAGAAGCCCTCGCGCCTTCGGAGAAGGTTCCTGTTTGTCTTCGTGGGCGGCTCAGAGCACTTCTCAGGAGGCGTGGGGACTTCCGAGCCTTCTGAGGCGGCCTTCTCCTCCTCGCTTCCCCCTCGCTCGCCGCCGACAAAAACTCGCCGTGCGGTGGCGGGCCGCGTGGCGGCGCCGGCATCGCCCCAGCGGCTCCGCCGCCGCGTGCTTGTGTCGGCGGCGAGCGAGGGGGGGGGGGAACTTTCGGGTTCGAGATTTGAGAAGCCAAGGTTTTCGGACGTTTTCGTCGCGTCTCGGGGGTTTTCCAGCCTCGGGACGGTTGCCGACAGCTGCCCCTCGCCGAGGGCGTTCGGGGGGGGGCCTGGATCGTCCCGAACGGCCGCTGGAGGCACGAGTTACGACCCCCAAACCAAATTCGGCGGCGCGCCCGGGTGGGAAGTGAAAAGGAGAAGGCCTTCTCAGAAGGCGGCGGGACATCTCAGAAGCCATCGTGCCTCCCGAGATGGGTTTTCTGCGCCTTCGGAGAAGGCTAAGGAGCTCTCCTCAGGAGGCCAGGGGGCTTCCGAGCCTTCAGAGAAGGTCCGCCCCTTGTCACTTCCCCCCTGGGCTCGCCGCACGGTTTTGGGGCACCCGAGGCCCCAGGCGCCCGAGACGTTCTCGGAGACAGAGGCCTCCCAGATGGGGCTCGAGCAGTCCGCATCGCCGATGCATCCACGATGCATCGACGATGCAGCGGCCACGTCGGCGGTGCATCGGCGACGCCGGCGTGGAGAACATTGGGCTCCACATCGAGCCGCATCGCCGTTGCATCGGCGATGCGGCTAGATCCTCCGACCCAGTGCACTCCGAGCCTATCCAGGAGGTCCAGAGGAGAACGACCCGAGTCCCACCGACTCACCACGCGGTGTGGTCCACACCGCTTGAGGCCCCGCAAGTCCTCCACCACGGCGCCGAAGGGCAGGCCGCGGAGCCGCAACCGCGGGGCCCTGGGGCGGCTGCCGCCGGCGGAACCGCCCGCGCCGCCCTCGGCCCACTCCACCACCACCTCGTCGTTGCCGTCCGCCTCCTCCTCCTCTTCCTCCTCCTCCTCCTCATCCTCATCCTCATCATCAGCATCAGCATCAGCATCAGCATCAGCATCAGCATCAGCATCAGCATCATCATCATCATCATCATCATCATCATCATCATCAACAACAACGTCCTCCTCTTCCACCTCCACCTCCTCATGGTCGTCGTCCACCTCCTCCTCGTGCTGCTCGTCCTCCTCCTCCTCTTCGTCGTCCCCCTTATCCTGCGTCAACGCCCTCGACCCCTCCACCTGCCAAGTTTTGCTCCCGACGGACTGGGGAGGCTTTGTGACGTTTTGGGCTCTCGCCAGGGCCTCCAAAGGCCTCCAGGAACCTCTGGAGGTCAGCCTTCGGAGGCCTCCAGGGACCTCTGGAGCAAAATTTACATCATTCGCCTCTTCGTTGTCCTCCCCTTCCTCTTCCTCCTCCTCCTCCTCCTCCTCCTCCTCCTCCTCCTCCTCTCCTCGTGAATAACTCCTCCGTGTCGCACCCCGAGGCCAGTCGGAAGGGTTGGCCGGGAGTTTCGCCTCAGACTTCAATAGAATTAATGATTCTCAAACTTGAAATTTGGCCACATATTCACAGATGGAGGGCGGGTCGCTTCCAAAATGTGGCTCCCGCCTCAGCGCCGCGCACACTCGTCTATGGGCAAGAGTTTCCTGGGTTGGGGGGTGGGCCGTTTTTAAGAGATGGCTCTCGCTTTAGCGTCACGCACATTCCTATTGTCCAAATGTGCACGAGTTTCACCGATTGAGAGCGGCTCCTTTTCAAATGTGGCTCTCGCCTTAGCGCCGCGCGCATTCGCGCTAACAAAGTGCGTGGGAATTCTCCGGGTGGTGTTCAAAAAGCGGCTCTGACCCTAGCGCTGCGCACGTTCCTTTCGTTTAAATTCGCAAGAGTTTCACGGATTGAGGGCGTTTCCTTTCCAAACTGTGGCTCTCGGCTTAGCGCCGCGCACATTCGTTTCAAACATTCGCCAGAGTTTCGCTGATCCTCATGGATAGCGTACCAGAAATAGTGTTTGGGAGCGAATGGCGCGAGTTACGTTGACTTGCGGTGCTGACATCCCAGGAATAGTGTTCTGGCATGACCCAGGATCGTCGAGACGCACCAGTCAGGCTGACTCGTGGCGTTGAAGACCCGAGAATGGTGTATTTGGCACGCTTCAGGATTTTCACACGGCTGTCTCCAAAAGGGGAATTTCCTCAGTGGAAATGAACCCTTGCAGGGTCCTATGAAGAAGGAGCTTGGAGGGACTGTACATCCCAACATCTTTGATGAGTCTTGGGATCTCACTGGTCCTCCTCTTCTTCCTCCGCCTCCCCCTCCTCCTCCTCCTCCTCCTCCTCCTCCTCCTCCTCCTCCTCCTCCTCCTCCTCCTCAAGGTGCCTGGCTCCCCTCTCCATACTCGTCCTCGGTCTCGCCCTCGTCGCCCTGCTCCCCCCGCAGAAACAAAACGCCCACGGCGATGGCACGAGCGAAAACCAGCCGAGCCGACAGCGAAGGCCGGACTGGCCGAAGCCGCCAGGCAGGCCCGGGCTGCATAGATCGGGGGTTGCTGGGGGTGCCCCTGGGCACAGGATGCCCCGAGCTGTGCGCTCCCCTTCGGAGCCCCACGGGGGCCCTCTAGGCCTCGTGACGGGTGCTTCGGGAGGCCCTGGCGGCCGCCTTGGACATCCTGGGGGCACCTTGGGCCTGGGGCACTTCCAGGTGGGCCTGTTTTCCACCACCACCACCACAAGTTGGAGGGGGAAGGAGGAGGAGGAGGAGGAGGAGGAGGAGGAGGAGGAGGAGGTGGAGGAGAACGAGGAGGAGGAGGAGGAGGGCGAAGAGGAGGAGGAGGAGGAGAAGGAGGACCCCTCCCCCTCCAACTCATGGTGGTGGTGGTGGTGGAAAACAGGCCCATCACCTCCAGCAGCACCCGCGACTCGCGGAATCGGATCGCCTCGGGCTGCGCCCAGATCCTCGCGGGGCCCGCTCGGGGTCGGAGGATCGGCCCGACCTCACGGGGCGCGCTCGGCCCCTGCAGGCCAGCGGGAGGGGGGGGGGGGGGGGGGGAATCGTCGAGTGCCGGCTCAGACACGATCGAGAGTGGGATCACAACTGGGGGCTCGGGACGCTCAGGAGTGTTCCGTGGCACTCGGGTCCTGGATGTAACGACTTTCGAAGAGGACTCCGTGGACCTCATGGCGTCGGCGTAGCCTGCCAGCAACGTCGTGCTTCGAGGGGGGTTGTACACTTGCATCGGTTCCAAATGCCGTCTCCACTCGTGGGGCGGGCGCGCGCGGCCCCCGCGCGCGATCGGACCTGAGCTGACCTGACCCGACCTGGACAGATCGAACCGATCTGTGAGGGGCCCTGCCCTTGGGGGGCCAAGAGAGGCCACTGCGAGTGAGGGTCGATGCATCTCCCCTCTGCGCCTGCCCCCCCCCCCCCACCCACACCTGTCGTTCGGGGAACGAAGAGTGCCATCAACATAACAACTCTGAGGTCCACGCAGATTTCTCGGATCCGTGGTGGACCCCCCCTCCCTGGCGCGCGGAGCGCGCCAGGGGCGGCGCCGCAGGCGCCGCCAAGGGGCCCCAGCGCCGATCCGAAAACTCCGCGCGGACCTCCGAATTGTTACGCTCATGTCATGTTTCGTTCCCCTAGTCGATGCGTCTCCCACCGTGCTTCTCTCCCCCTGCACGGTCTCCCCCTGTACGGTTTCCCCTGCACCATGCTTTCTCCCCCTCCACCGTTTCCCCGCCCCATGCGTTTCCCCCCGGGCCGTAGGCGACCCCAGGAGGAGGAGGAGGAGGAGGAGGAGGAGGAGGAGGAGGAGCAGGAGGAGGAGCAGGAGGAGGAGAAGCAGGAGGAGGGAGGAGGAGGAGGAGGAGGAGGAAGGAGGAGGAGGAGGAGGAGGAGGAGGAGGAGGGGGAGGGGGAGGGGGAGGAGGGAGGGAGGAGGAGGAGGAGGAGACGCAGGAGGAGGGAGAGGAGGGGGAGGAGGGAGGAGGGAGGAGGGAGGAGGAGGAGGGAGGAGGGAGGAGGGAGGGAGGGAGGAGGGAGGAGGAGGGAGGAGGGAGGAGGGAGGAGGGAGGAGGAGGAGGAGGAGGAGGGAGGAGGAGGAGGAGGAGGAGGAGGAGGAGGAGGAGGAGGAGGAGGAGGAGGAGGAGGAGGAGGAGGAGGAGGAGGAGGAGGAGGGAAGGGTCGCCTAAACCCCTCGGAGAAACCCCCTCCACCTCGCCCCCCACCTGCCGCTGCCCCGAGCCCCGCCTGCCCGCCTCCCCCCCCCCCGCATAGCGCTCCAGCTGCCGGCTCCGCCGCCGCTCGCCGCCCCACGGCGGCCCGACGCGCGGCTCGCGGCCGCCGCCCAGGGCGCGTCCTCTCGTGGCGGCACGCTGCGTGGGAGCGGGGCGCTGCGGCAAGGCGGAATTCGGGCATGCCCCCCTACAGTTAGGTCGGGCCTGTCCCGGGGACAGGCCCGACCTAACTGTCATGGGGGACATTTGTAGGAGACAGTGTCCCCCTACAAGTTGGACGACAAATAACAGATCGTCAAAAAATACTCCCACATGGTCAAAACAATACTGAAAAATCGTCCCCTGACTATTTTTGGACTATTCTTGTAATTCCCCCTGTAGAGGGACAGGCCCGACTAACCCCTACAGAGGGATTCTCGACGAAGACTAAAAGTAGACCCAACACTAGTCAAACATTATTGAAGCATGGCTCAACCATATGCAAACAATGGTCCCCAGGCTATGCTCTGAAACCTTGCAATGTTCGTCCTGTAGAGGGACGTGCCCGACTCAGGGCAAGGCTTGGACGCCCGAGCAACCTGGGATAGCTTCTGGTGTTGGCCCAAAAAGGGGTCCAGCTACAAGAGGGTGGTGCGATAGCTCTGGTGCATTAGTGAAGGGAAACTGGGACACACAAATAAATACACACAAATAAAAATATCCCCCATATTTTCCCATATTTTCTGAGTTTTTGTCTCCCCCCCCACTTCCCATAGTTTCCCATATGTTCTGGGAATCGTCGATTAATTGTGTCTGTGTGTTTTTTCCCCTCCTGCATTAGGTTTGTGGGATGCAACAGATTTTGGGCGTGCAACACCTCCTGGTGCGCAAGCGCATTGCTGGATCTTCGCGTGCAACACATTCGCTGCACTACAATGCACAGCAGTTCTCTGGCGCTATACATGTGCAGCACGCTTGACTCCAATCCATTGCACCACCCCTGTCTAGTTGGACCCTTGCTGGGCAACGCGGATGACAGCTGTCCGGGGTAACTCCTGTTTGGGCCACCGCGGCGCGCATCGGCACTTGATTCGGGCAGGTTTGACGCCCTCCTCGGAGCAGCCCCGCCCGACGAGGCCCCACCCGTCCTCGCCGCGCGGCCGCAGCGCCTGCGCGCCCGCACCCGCCGCGGCCGAGCGCCCCTCGCGCCGCGGGGCGGGCTGCGCCGGCAGCGCTGCGCGCAGGGCGGCGAGCGGGCGGCGCGCTCGGGCGGCCATGCGGGGCACCAGGGCTGAACCTAGACGGTGTTCTTCGTTCTCGTTTTGACTTCGTGCTTTCCCACCGCAAACGGAGTCGAAACGACAACGGCCCACGAAATCGCCAGAACGCCGTTGAGGTCAAGCCCTGCGGGGCACGGCCGGGGGCGCCTGCGCGCTGCGCGCGGGCCTCCGGGCGGCTCGACGTCGGAGGCGCGCGGAGAGGCCACGCGACTTCGGCGTCGGCGTCGGGCGCGGCTCGCACCCGGCGGCCCCCTCGCGACGACCACCGCGGCGGGGGGCGCCAGCGGGCGAGATCGCCGCGGCCCGCGCCCGTGCGGCGGGGCGGGCCGGTAGGGCGGATCGTTTGTATCATTTGACTTCTCTTTCTTTGACGTGATTTTGAAAATTCTCTCTCTCTCTCTCTCTCCCTCCCTCTCTCTTTCCCTCTCTCCCTCCCTCTCTCTTCCCTCTCTCCCGCCCTCCCGCCGCGGAGGCACCGGGAGGGCGGGCGCGCACTCTTCGGTATAGGCGGCGTCGAGAGCGCCCCGCGGGAGGCCCGGCAACCGGCTGCAGGCACCGCATGTCTATGCCCCCCCCCCCATTGCCAGCCCCCGTGGTCCGGCCGGCCGAGCGCAGATGCCCGTCGCAGGCCCCAGCTCCCGGACCGTGAGTCGACGCCAATTGTCGACGTCGACCAGCCCTCTGAGTGGGTGGCGACATCCGAAGCCTCCCCACGCCAGCCATCGATTCAGGACGAGTCTCCTGAATCGATGGGAGGCAAGGGTAGGGTTCCACGTGTTCGACAAATCCCACCAGCCCTTTGGGCGTGAGTGGTTTAGAGAGCTCTCTCTGTCCTCAACCCCCCTTGTTCCCCTTCGGGGAGGGGTTTACCTCTCCCCCTACCCCCTACCCCTGGACCTGGACAGGGATCCCCGAGCGTAGTCAGAGGGGGTCTTTTTCGACTCCTGGGAGGGCCAAAAAACGACGACCCTCACGAGGATTCTGGCCCCGGGGGGGGGGGGGCAGTTTGGCCCCTCTGCTCGTCTTTGAAGCATAAATCATTGATTTTACGAGGGTTTTGGCCCCATTATGGCCTTCTGAGGGGGCCGCGCTCATCTTCCCTCATAGCAAAATCATTGATTCTACAAAGATTTTGGGCTCATTTTGTCCTTCTCAGGGGGCAGCTCTCCTTTGCGCTTCTGCGGAGGTCGCAAGAGGCCCCAGGAGGCCCCAAGAGGCCCCCAAGAGGCCCCCAAGAGGCCCCCAAGAGGCCCCAAGAGGCCCCCAAGAGGCCCCCAAGAGGCCCCCAAGAGGCCCCAAGAGGCCCCAAGAGGCCCCCAAGAGGCCCCCAAGAGGCCCCCAAGAGGCCCCCAAGAGGCCCCAAGAGGCTCCAAGAGGCCCCCAAGAGGCCCCACGAGGAGCCCGAACGACTCACACCAGGACGAGGGGCCCGAACGACTCACACCACGAAGAGCCCGAACGACTCACACCACAAGGAGGGGCCCGAACGACTCACACCAGGACGAGGCGCCCGAACGACTCACACCACGAGGAGCCCGAAGGACTCACACCACGACGCGGGCCCCGAACGACTCACACCACGAGGAGCCCGAACGAGTCACACCAGGAGGAGGGGCCCGAACGACTCACACCAGGATGAGGGGCCCGAACAACTCACACCACGAGAAGCCCGAACGACTCACACCAGGACGAAGAGCCCGAACGACTCACACCACGAAGAGCCCGAACGACTCACACCAGGAAGAAGGGCCCGAACGACTCACACCAGGACGAGAAACCCCAAACGACTCAAATCACGAGGAGCGCTTTCTCTCCCTCCTCCTCCGCCTCGTCCTTCTCCCGCTCCCCTCACAAGGAGGATGTACAAGGAGGCGGGAGGAAGGAGGAACAGGGGAGATATGCGGGGCCAAGCGGACACACGCCTGAAAAACACGACTGTCGGCATGCTTCGCGAGAGTTGCTGCTGTGAGATGGGCTGGTGGGGATACGCGAAGCGTAAAGAATTCCGAACCCTACCCCTGCCGACCATCGAGTTGCCTGAATCGCTGATCGGCGTGAATAGGGCTCGGACTTCGCCTCCGAACCCTCTCACAATGCGAACAGGACGCCCCGCGGCTGAGGAGGGGAGGGGGATAAGGGGGGGAAAGGTGCACCTGATCTTGCCATCGCGCGGACGCCCATCCCCAGTGCATCTTTTGACTTCGTGCGCCTTTTTTCCGCAGGATGATCCAGGATGCTCCTTGATGGTCCCCGTCGGAAAAAATGCACACGTCCGAGCGATGCCGAGTGATTAGCCCAGGTGCCCAGGCTGTACCTGCGGGCGCGCGCGCGCAGGGCGGCTGAGCCTCTGCGGAAGCCGGGCACGCGCCGTCATACGTCAAACGGGTCGGGGAGTCCGTCGTCCCCCCGACCACTTGCCGTCGCTCGGACGTCCATTCCCAGCGCATGCCTCGGCTTCACGCGTGTGCGCTCCGCCAGATGGCCCAGGATGCCCCTCGATGGCCCTCGCCGAGAACGAGCGCAGACGTCCGAGCAAAAGTGCCCCCCCCCCGACCACACGAGGCCGGCGCAGCCCGATCTGGCGAGACGGAGCGCGCCGACCCGGCCCAGAAGCGGGACCCGTCAATCTTCTGCGGCAGCGCATGGGAGCGTCCCATGCCATCTTGTCGGCGCTTGCGAGTCAACGCTAAATCGACGCTGCATCGACGCTGCGTCGGCGCCAGCCGGCGCTGAATCGGCGCTATCCCATCGACTCCCAGACTAACCGACGCTGGAGACGGACTTGCGAAGGCACACGAGGCTCCCATGACTCGCTACCGACTTAATCATCGCGCCCAGATCCATGTCTGCGCCTGCTCGATGAAGAGGGGGGCTGGCAACAGGGGGGGTGCAGGCACAGCATGGCCCGACGCACGTGCGCGGACGAGGGAGCCCAACAGGACCCTAAGAGGGGGTGGTCGAACCCACGTTTCGAGCCCTCCGCCCCAGGATAACCCTCGAGACCGCCCGCAGGCTCCCCAGAGGGCCCCAAGAAGCCCCACGAGCCCCCAAGAGGTCAAGAGGAGGCTCCAAGATGCTCGCAAGAGACCTCCCTGGGAGGCACCAAAAGCGACTCTAAGAAGGCTCCCGATAAGCCTCCCAGGAGAGCCCCAAAGGCACCCCAGAGGCCTTTGACCTACAACCCAGGCTGGGTGGCAGGATGGGCCGAGGGCCGAATAAATTGACAACATCTGAAATTTAGAAAGAACCGTCGATCCGCAATGACTCATATGTTTCGCCCCCAGTTGCCAGAGAAAGCCACAGGAAGATTCTGAGCTTCGAGCCCAATCCGAAACCTCCAAATAGCCTCATTCCAAATTGTTGACCGTGTGCCCTCCCTGCCATCCCTCCTGGCTGGCTCACTTCCTTCGCCCCTCTCCTCCAGCGCGGGTACAACTGACACCTCCACGGTCCAGCTCTCTGAACCACGAAGCTCGGGACCCCCCCGCAACCGCCAACAACGAAAACCTTGCACCCGAACGCGGGCGGAAACGGACGAAGCGCATACGACATCCGCGCGGAATCAGAAGACATCACATCAACAAAAGATGTCCATATCCACGGCCCTGCTATCTGGAATCCCCGGAGTCGCTGTCAATTACCATAACCAAACAGAACGACAAATTATCCCAGTGCGACCCTACCTAGGATTTGGAACCCCTAGGAAAGCAACATCAATAGTAACAGTAACGCTAAGCTAAAGCTAAGCTAAATCTAAGCTAAAGCTAAGCCACAGCTAAGCTAAAGCTAAGCTGAAGCTAAGCTAAGGCTAAGCTAAAGCTAAGCTAAAGCTGAGCAACAGCTAAGCTAAAGCTAAACTACAGCTAAGCTAAATATAAGCTAAATCTAAGCTAACGCTAAGCTAAAGCTAAGCTAAAGCTAAGCTAAATCTAAGCTAAAACTAAGCTAAAGCTAAGCTACATCTAAGCTCAAGCTAAGCTAACGCTAAGTCCTAAGCTAAGCTAAGCTAAGCTAAGCTAAGGTAAGCCAAGCTAAGCTAAGCTAAGCCAAGCTAAGCTAAACCAAGCTAAGCTAAGACGAGATAAGCTAAGCCAAGCTAAGGGGGCGCGACTGGGGGGAACCGCGGGGCGGGGACCGGGGGAACCGCCCGGGGCGCTTTCCACTGCCTGGCCCCTTTAAGCTAAGAGAGTAAGAACCCTTCTAGGCAGAGCCTAGGTAGGGAACATCAGCTTTCACTGGTCGCCTGCGCAACTGCCACCCCACCCTGAGCCAAGAAACTCGCGCGGACCTCCCAAAGATGCTGTCTGGGCTTGTGTCATTCGGAGACCGAGAGGGCGTGGATATGGATACACATGGACGCAGGTACATTCACAGCGACACCAGCATCGAAAACCCACCAAACCGATGGCGAGACCAGAATCGACCGAGACCAAGGCACCGAGAGCGGCCTGAAGGATGCCCGGGGCGCGCGAGCCGACCGCATGCAGCGACTGCCAAGCACGCCGAGCCGCGGACATCCCTGGGATCCTTGCCGCGGTACGCACAAGGCGGCAGCACGAGGGGGCGGCCATTCTCTGAGAGGGCGGGAGGCCTGCGAAGGCGGGGGCCCTCTTCCACGGGCCCTCTTCCACGGGCCCAGACGAGCGACGAAAAGCAGCGGGGCGCACGCGAGATGGCATGGCGACGTTACGCCGTGGCTTACGCGGGCCGACTGCGCGGCACGCCGCAGGGGCAGCGAGGGCGATTGCGCGGGCAGCTTGCGCGGGCAACTTACGCGCGAATGTCGGCCCGGACGAACCGTGTTCTTGCGCCGCTCAGATGCTTCTGAGAAGGCTTCTCAGAAGCCGGGAGGGCCACCTCAGAAGCCCACCGCCTTCATGAGGCCCTGCAGGCTTCTTGAAAGGCAGCCACCATCGCGCCCACCTCTCGTACGCGCCGCCGAACGTCGGCTCGTCGCTTGCGACCCCGCCCTCTTCGGGTCGGACGAACATGGGGAGGGATTGCAAAGAGGGGGGATAGCGAATCAGCTCACGTAGCTGATTTCGCTAGCGCCTCCCGGCGCCGGAGGTGCCGAAGCATAGATGAAAGCGCCCAGCGGGAGGCCCGAAACCAGCTGCGTGCACCAGATTTCTGCCCCTCGCATTCCCAGCCCCCACCACCCCCCTCTCGTCTGGCCCACTGAACGTATGCCCGTCGCCCGCGACACCCGCCCTTCCACGCCCCAGCCCCTGGGTCGTGAGTCGACGGCAGACTGTCGTCCAGCCAGCTCTCTGAGTCGGTGGCGACATCCGAAGTCTAACCCCACCACCCATCGATTCTCCTGAATCGATGGGAGGCACAGGTAGGGTTCGCGCTTCGCCACACGTGTTCGGCGAAATCCGAACCCTACCCACGCCGCCCGTAGAGCTGCCCGAATCGTCGATCACTCCGCCGCCGACTCAGGAGCTTCCTGCGTGCAATCTGAACGAGCGCGTTCCACTACTCGCAACGTAGCTGCTCGCAAATGGCCTGGATCCACCGCGGTGGATGTATGATACATCGCATGGAGGACGACACGCTCTTTTTGCCGGGTGTTTGCGAGCAGGCGCTCTGCGAGTAGTGGAACGCGCTCGGCAACAATCGCATGCGCGCGCGACCACGTCCGCACCGACATCACTCAGGCACTGCACAGGCGCGCGCACGGCGCAGCCCCCGCCCCCCCCCCTTTCTCTGCAGCCGCGCCCGCTCTGGGCGGCGAGGCTGCGCGCCCTTCCGCGGCGCGGCGCCGCACTCCGTGGAGCGGGGCGTTCCCTGTGGAGCGGCCCGCTCGGCGGGCGGGCGGACCCGGCACTGCGGGCACACAACTAGATGCCCTCGCGTCGTCGACAATTTGGGGGTCCTCCTCCTCCTCCTCATCCTCCTCCTCTTCTCCTCCTCCTCCCCCTCCTCCTCTTCCTCCCCCCCTCCTCCTCCTCCTCCTCTTCCTCCTCTCCTCCCCCCCTCTTCCTCGCCCTCCTCCCCCTTCTCCCCTCCTCCATCCCCCTTCCCCTCCTCCCCCTCCCCCTCCCGCCTGTTTGGTGACGGGCCGCGCGGTGAGCTCGAAATCCCAACCGCACGGTCTGGGGGCCTCGGAGGCCCCGGCCGCCCGAGTCCCGAAACCGCGCGATGACCCCGAGTCCCCGCCGACTCACCACGCGGTGTGGCCAGCAGGCCGCTCGGGGGCCCCGGACGATCACTGCCTTGCTCGCCTGGGGCCCGCGCTGTGAGCAAAGCCGTGACGGCGGGGCGTCGGGGCAGACATCCGGCGGCTCGACTTTCTCGAGACGCGCGCGTCGTCGTGGTGGCCGCCGCTGCTGGGCCCAGCCGGCGCTGCCTCCTGGGCGTCGTCGGCCGCTCGCGGCCCGCGCACCGCGTCCTCACGCTGCCAGCCCGGTCACCTGGAGCGCACGTCCAGGGGGGACTCGAACCGCACCTCCGGAAGGAGAAGGAGCTGCACGGACGTAAGCTGGATGAGGAACGAGGAGAAGGAGGAGGAGGAGGGGGAAAGAGGAGGAGGAGGATGAGGGGAAGGGTGAGGAGGAGGCGGAGGAGGAACTGCAGTCCTGCTAGCAAAAGGACGGCTGAACAAGGAACGGCATGGCCTCTCGAGGCACGGCGACCCTGGGCCATGAGTATAGAAGAGCAAAAGCACGCCATAAAGATAAACTTTCGCCGGTCCGCGCGGGTTTCTCGGATCGGCGCTGGACCCCCGGACCCCCTGGCGCGCGGAGCGCGCAGGGACGGCGCCGGAGGCGCCGGCAGGGGGGCCCCAGCACGGATCCAACAAACCCGCCCGGAGCGCCAAACGTTTGTGTGTTATGCCGTTTTTTGCTCTTCGAAAGCAGGTTCCCCGACCTATCGTTCGTCGCCTCGGCTGCACATTTTCGGAGGTCCGCGCGGACGCATTGGGTCGGCGCCGAAGGCGCCGCCCAGAGCCGCCCGACCCGAGACATCCGCGCGGACCTCTCGAAGTGCATGCTCACCACGCGAGCACCCTAGCATACCCTGGCAGCTCAGATGTCTGAAATACCCGCGTGGGGTTTAGAAAGGTATGCAGCCCGGTGAAGCCGAGCGGGGGTGCCCGGTATATCCAAGAAATCACTGGACCCAACACGCACTGGACCCGCACAGGTCGGGCTCGCCAAAATGATAGCAGATTCAACGAGAGTTCGGTCGGGAATGTGCAATTACAGGGGGTTTTGGCAGAGCAATTAAGAAGTCAACACATTTCAAACAGAGACCTAGAAATAGTCGACAATTCGCAATCAGGCTAGATTATTAAATGTGATGGAATATTCATCCTGTAAAAGGACACGCCCGACTAAACACAAGAACAGGCCTGGTCAAACCATGTGGGTTGGCCCGTAGACAGGCGAAGCTACAGCGCAGTGGCCTGAACGAGCACGCGCGCACCGGAGAGCAAACGTTGTGCCTTCGAGGGGGAGGGGGGGGGGGGGAAAAGAGATCGGGGACGGCTCTCACGCGTGAATGCAGTACGAACGCGTCTTCATATTTATCACAATCTCCTAAAGAGGGCAAACTCTTCTCATGGTTGCCCTCTTCATACGAAGGCAGATTCGATCAAAATCTGTTCCTAGAAGCCACTCCAAGACTATCAGCTCGAGCCGCGCCCATCCGCGCCGACGAAGGGGGCCCCGGTCCCCGCCCCTGTAAGTCTGCTGCCCCAGGAACCAACTCTTGTAGCCGTCGCGCGTTGGCCAGCCCAGCCACCTCAAGAGCAGTGTCTTCATTACTCGCGATAACCAGAAGGCAGAAAATCCCCCTCGCAATAATCACCCCGACAAAAAATACCCCGGAAACGCACCCACAGGAATAATCGAACAGGGAAAGGCTGTTTTGTAAACACCCAGGGCCGTTTAGCAAACGCCGACTATCGGGTCAGAAAGGATCGTCCTCCTTGAATAACGTTCGTGACCAACCCCTCCACTTCCACCGTCTTTTCCCGCTGGTCACGTCACGATTCGCGCCGGAGCCGCTTGGGAATTGGCCATCCCTGGGCGTTCCCAACTGGCGCCGGCGCTAATCGTGACGTGACCAGCCCCCTCCTCCCCCCCCCCTCGTTTGGCTACGTGTTCGGCCATGGACCCCTTGTTACCCATCGTTCCTGGGCCGTCTTCGGTGGTTTTCTGGCGGGATTGTCCTGCCGGTTGTCGTCGGTTTCTGGCGGGACCCTGCGGTCTTCGGCGCGACAGCCGAGCGGTCGCCGTCAACAGGAGGTCCCTGATCGAACACCTGGTCGCGCCCGCGGCTGCCATAGTGAAAACGCCCTCCTGCGGACTTCAAGACTTTCATGCCTCGGCGGTGGAGAAACCTCCCTTTAGCACAGCTCCCCTTAAGGAAAACGGCCTGGGGCCGAAACCGACGGACCTGGACCCGCAAAAATGGCGGCCGCGACGCCCTTTCGCGAACCGAAAACGGCCAATTCCTTCATCGACGTGTCGGGGTAGGAGGTTTATCAAATTCCGAACGCCGCTTGCGTGGTTCCTCGGGCCTCCCCCGTCCGCGTGTTGACGAAGGACTTCACGCCGTCAGGGAGCACGTCGGAGGCCTCCTGCCACTCCTCCGCGCTGGGGCGCCGCGCCTGGGGCAACACAAGTAGAAAGAAGGAACAAACATACACATAACAAATATTAACTCGGGCCTGTCCTCCTACAGGGGGGGGGGGGGGCGGAAAAAAATGGAGAATTAAGAAAGAACTTGTCCAAAAAATGAAACGTGTCCAGAGACTACAGAGACTATTGTTTACTATGTTTGAGTACTTATCCTGTAGAGGGACAAGCCCGGCTTAAAACAAATACCCGTCGCGGGCCACTTGGCGCGAGCGCGCTGCTGCCGCCCGAAAACCCGCGAACGGGAAATGCTCGCACGTGGCGCAAGAACACATGGGGATGTGTGCGCGCCGAGACCCGGGGAGACAACTGTAGCCGACAAGGCCAATGGCGGGCGAGAGCCAAGTGGCAACCCAAAGATGGAATAGGAAGGGGAAGTGACGGTGGATCCGATATGCGGGGCGCAACGATTGAAAGTATTGGAAGGGGGGGAGGAACCAGGAGATCAGGAGCCTGAGGGTGCCGTCTGACTAGCAAACAGCGCCTCGGGGGACCTCAGTTGAGGTCGAAGGCCAGGCCGAACGACACGACGACCGAGTCACCGCCTGCGCCGCGGCGCCGCACAACCTGCGCGAGGTGGACCGCGCCGCTGACATGGCGGCCGCCGCCTAGCTACCCTCGCCGCCGCGGCTGGGGGACGCGGCCTGCGGCCAGCGCAACGCGCCGCCGCCGCCGCTGGGCGCGCAGAAGGACAGCGACAGGGCGCGCTCAGGCAACGCTCTCGCCCGCGTCGCTGCCCTCGCCGCCGCTGTGCCCCTGCGGCGCCGCCTGCGCGCTGAGGCGGCCCTGGCCCTCGCGAGGCGCCGCCGCCCCAGGCCGCGGCCTGCGGCGCGCCGCCCGAGCCCAGCCCGGCGCGGGCGGCAGGCCCGCAGGCGCCGCCAGCCAGCTGCGGAGGCAGTACCTCGCACCTCCGCATGCTGTCGGTGACGCACCGCTGGCCCAGCGCGAGGCCCATACGATACCTGGCGCAGGCGCCGCGCAGCCTCGCTCCGCAGCGCCATGCTCGGCGACGCCGCGCCTCCGCCAGCTGCTGGGCCGCGCTGCCCATCCCCCCGAAGAAACACCGCCACCTGGGCTGGGTGAGGACCGCCTCCGCGCACGGGACGCAGTGGTGGAGCCAGTCGCTGGCCGCGCCGTCGGCGTCGGGCAGCGGCTCGACCCACCGCCGCCCCCAGCGGTCCAGCCTGCGCTCCAGGGCCAGCGGCCGCGGCGGCCGCTGCGGCAGGACCGCCCTGGGCGGCGGCCGCGCCGCGCGGATGCTGCGACGCCGCAGCCGCGCGGCAAAGCCCACAAGCGCCTCCCTGGGGGCCGCCCAAGCGCCGCCCCAGCGCCGCTCGGCCCGCGCCTGGGGCCGCCGCAGCAGCGCCTGCCCCCGCGCTGACCATGACCCGGCGCGATCACCAACAGCGCGCCCTGCGTCGGTCAACGCCTCCACGACCTGCGCTGTGGGAACACTGCCAGCGCCGCCAGCGGCAACGCCCGTCAGGCCAGCCTCGCGAGTCGCAGCGCGCCGCCGCAGCACCTCCAGCCGCTCCTGCCAGGACGGCGCTGGCGCCGCGCGAGCGCTGCGGCGCGCCGCAACCTCCGCAAGCAGGCGGCTGGCCTCCGCGCGCCCGCCTCTCGGCGGCACAGGAGCCCCGCGTGTCGCGGCCCCCTGCACATCCGCCACTGGGGCCTCCTCCGTGCGCCCGCCTCGCAACTCTGCGGGAGCCCCGCGTGTTGCTGTCTCCTGCGCACCCGCCCTCTGGGCCTCCTCCGTGCGCCCGCCGCACGGCGCTGCGGGAGACCCGCGCGTCGCGGTCCCCTGCGCGTCCGCCCGCGGGGCCTCCGCATAGCCATGGGCCACGACCGCTTCGTCGGTGCCCTTCTCGGAGCTGTCGTCGACCGAACTGCGCTCGTCGTGCACCAGCGTGCCCGTAGCCCATGACCTGCCCACCTCGGGGTCCAGACCACGCAGCAGCCTGTCCCTCCTGGCCGGCAGGTTGCTGACGTAGCTGCGCTGGCGGTACCCCTCGTCGGTGGGCGGCCCGCAGCACGCCTTCTGCAGCCCCCTTGCCGCTGGGGTCAGCATCCACGCGACGCAGACTTTGCAGAAGATGGTGGCCCCCGCGCGCCGCAGCCGATGCCCGAGGCGCAGCCCCGCGCCACCGCCGTCCCCTTCGCGCAACCATGGGTTCGGCTTCTGCGCCACCTTGCAGGGCCTGCCACCGTCGCACTGCTGCCGCGCCTCAGCATCCAGGCCCTCGGCGTCGCCCATCCACGCGCTTCCTTGAGGCGTGCCAGCGGCGTCGGCAAACAACTCGGCCTGACAAACCGCCGCGCCGCCGCACCTGCCTCAGTACGGAATCGGCGCCCGCGCTCGGTTCACAACATTCCGCGCTTTCCCTGCGCGCGCGCCAGGGAGTGCTCCACCACCGTCAGCTTCGGCACGGGCGGCGGCGCCGCCGCGGGCACGTGGCGCGCCTCGGGGGCCCAGTCCCCGATGGCCAAGCAACGCTGCATGGCCCATCCGATGTGGTCCGCCACTTGCTTGACGCACTGCGCCTCGATGGCGTAGAACTCCGTGTGCACCTGGGACACCGTGTGCTGCAAAGCCCCCTGCTTGGCGAACCCGTCCGCCCACGGGTTGCCCGCGCACGGCGCTGGGTGAAGCCCCGCCGCCAGGTGCCCGTCGACGTCCTGGTGCGCGGAAACCCAGAACAACTCCGGGCGGCATGGGTGCTGCCGCAGGTGCCTCCACACCGTGGCGTGCACCGGCTTGGCTCGCTCCAGCTCAGACCCCCAGCTGCTAGCCTCCTGGGCCAGCGCCTGCAGGTCAGTGGCCACGAATCGCGCCTGCTGCCCCAGGAGCTCGGTGACCCGCAGGAGCGCGTGTCGCTCGGCGCGACCCACCGCCTGCAGGCGGCCAGGAAGGGCCCCGAAGACCGCGCGAACGGGCGCCCCGTTGGAGCCGAGCTGGACCAGCGACCACCCGCAGCGCCTCAGCTCGGGCATGCTGCTCGCGAAGCCCGAGCCATCGGAGAACGCAATGTCCCCGCGCTGCTCGTCGCTCGCGCCCCTCCTGTCCACCGCCTCGTCGGCCGCAGGCGGCACGCGCGGCGGCGGCACGGGGGGCCCGACCTCGTGCGCGAACCCGCTGAAGTCCGCGACCCCCGCGCCGCCTGCCTGCAGGCCCTTGTCGCGCATAGTAGCCCATATCTGCTGCAGTCGGTCAGGGAGGACGTCCTGCTCTACCGACGACCTGTTCGCAACGAAACATGCCGTGCCAAGCTCGCTGCCTCCAGGGGGGCTAGCCTGCGTGCGCGCGGCAGGGCCTCGCAGTCGCACAGCCTGTGACCAGGGGTGTCCGCCTCCGCTCCGAACGCCAGACAGCTGCCATCGGGAGCGACCCCAACGTCTAGCTGCCCCTGCCAGGTCCACGGCGCGCCTGCCCAGTGGATCCTGCGGCTGGTGGCAGCAGGCCCTTCGGGAACAGCGGCACCCTTGCCGCCCGCGCGCAGCCTCAGGACCCGCGTCCAGATAGGCCCCGTGGGCTGCGCGCCGCCGAAGTGGCTCGGGATCTGTCGCCCTTGCCAGCGGCTGACCCCCATCAGCGAGCTAAGCCTTGAGGTCCGACGGAGAGGTGGCGAGCAGGTTGATGTGCTGCTCCTCGTCAGCGACCAGCAGCAGGCTAGACCACATGTGCTAATCCCCCACAGCGTGAGCGTCGTCGAGGCGATCGGGCCGCGCGCCACCCCCGCGTCGGCTTCTCGACCAGCCGCTGCGCGATGGAGGACCACGCACGCTGAAGCATGCCCATCGATGTCCTCTGCTCCCAGACCCAGCTGGAGTACCTGACTGCGAGCGCCACCGTCGCCTCGTAGACTGGATCAAGCCTCGCGCTGCGCTGCGTGGCCAGACAGATCGTGGCGCCCGACGGGCCTGGCCGCGCCCCCGCCAGCCGGCTGGCCCCAGCCCGCGGCCGCTGCAACTCATCGTCGGAGATGCACGACGCCCGTGCCGTGGCCAGCGCTGGGGGGCAGCCCCGCGCGCCACAGCACGGTGACCTCGCGGCCAGCAGCACGCTTCAACGCCGCCAGGCGCCTGCGCCGCCGCGCCAGCGCCTTCAGCCGCGGCTTGGTCTGCCGTCGCTGGATCCTGCCTCCTCCAAGGTCATGCCCCAGATTGCGAGCCCAGCGTAGCAGCTGCAAGCCGCGGGATCCCGCATGCTTTCTGCACCCTGCGGCTGGGCCCTTGGACGAGGTCACGTAGCCAGACTTGGCGGGCTGCGCGATGATGCCCAGTTGCCTGGCCTCCTCGCGGAAGCGCGCGACCGCGGCACTCAAGACGCCGACGTTGCTGCCCGCGGTCCTGACCCACTGAAGGGTGACGTCGTCTACGAAGGCCCTGGGAGTGACGCCCGCGCAGCGCGCCCGCTCCAGCACGCGGTGCATCAGGACCGACACGAGCGCGCGCGCGTGCGCGCATCCAGCCAACACCCCCTGGTAGGACGCAACTTCGTAGGACGCCGAGCCGAACGCTTGCAGCGGCCTGGGCTGCCCGTAAAGCTCCACCAAAAGCCAGACCAGCGGCTGGGGCATCTTGAGCAGCCGCACCTCCTGTATCAGGGCCTCGGGGATCACCGTCTCAAAGAACATCCGGGCGTTCGGGAGCACGGTGGCCACCTGTTCCTCCAACGCGACCGATACCTGGGTCTCGAGGTTCAGGTCGAACGCTGCATCAGACGACGACCTGCCCGCGCCGAGCCCCCAGATGTCGACGCTGGGGCCCCTGGGGTGCTGCGCGGGCCGGCCCTTGGAGATGTCCGCCCGCGCCCTCGACCACCAGCGCACCAAAGAATACATGGGCGCGATGAGGCGGCACCCTCCAGAGGGCTTGGGCAGCGGAAACATGGCGTGCCACAGGAGGCCCTCAGGCGACGCGCCCAGCTTCTCCATGCGCATGAAGAGCTACGCGCAAACATACATGCGGCCCTCGGACAGGAAAGACAGGGCACGCAGGCCGATCTTGGCAGGCCCCATCGCCGCGCCCGTGGAACATGAGAGCGCAGCCCTCTTCATCTTACCGGCGGCGAGCTCGGGCAGCGCATCCCGCTCCTCAATGCCCGCAGGCCTGCGAGCCTGCGGCGCCCATGGCACCGCCGCACCTATGCCCGCGGCTGCATCTCCCGATCGCACGCCAGGTGCGGGCTCGCGTCCTGCTGCTGGCTATGCCAGGCAGTGCCCACCCCCTGCAAGCCCCTGAACTTGGAGCACCGATGGGCGCGGCCAGCTCCGTGGGACAATGACTCGTTGGCCCACGTGACCCACTCCTTCCGCTGCGCCGCGAGGGCCGCTTCATACTCACCGTTAGCGTACCCCGCGAACCTCTATGCCTGGCCCGCGAAGTCGACCTGGGTGAACATCAGCATCCGCTGGCCGAAGAAGTCCTGCACCCAGTGCGGCAGGGGCGACAGCGTGCAAGGCTGGCGATGATCTTGCCGAGAAACGCCGCCGCCTCCATCAGGAATCCCGCCAGCTTGTCAGACTGGGCCTTGAACAGCGGGCAGAGGAGGCTGGCGCCGTGGAGTTGTCGGACCGCTTTGGCGACGTACGCCCCGACCTCCATCAGGTGCCGAGCCCGCCTCGACGCCGCGCGGCACGCCGCGGCCTGGCGACCAAGCGCGTCCTGCGTCGAGGGGGTCGCCACGTGACAGCGACACGAGAGACGTCTCCAAAGCGCCAGACCTGCCGACGCACTTGGTCCTGTCATACCCGACAACGTCGTAGCGGCCCAGGAGCTTCTGCTCGACTGTGGCCACCACGGCGCCCCATGCCTCGGGGAGGTGCTCTCGGCTGACGGCTGCGCACACCTTGGCCAAGGGCCTGCGCCAGTCCCCGACGCCGCGGCTGCAGCCCACGGGCGGCGCAGGGCCGATCGGCCGCGGCCCCCTCACCACCCGCACCTGCATCGGAAGGTCCTGCGCGCACGTCTCCATTGCGACGGGCAGGTGCGGCTTCGTCTCGCCGTGCTCGTCGACCCGCGGCCTGCCAAGCCTCGGAGCAACGTAAGCTGCAAAACGGAAGTCGTCCAGCGTCGACCAGGCCCCAGCACGCGGCCTGCAGGCGGCTTCCTCTGCCGCCGCCCACAGTCCACGGACCCCGCGGAGCTGCTTCAGAAGGATCCACTTCTCGGGCCCCATGTTGAAGCCACCGCCCTCGGCCCAGTCGATCCCAGCTGCGCTGAGCTTCGCCAAGTACTTCATGAGAACGGCCGCCACGTGCTGGCTGTCCGCGCTCCACCCCACAACGCCGTGGGAAATATGCAGAAATGGCGACGAACCCGCCCGCCACTTCCCAGTGCACATGGGCGGCCACCAGACGCGCGGCCAGCAGCGCGGGGCTCTCCGGGGAAGGCGGGCTGGCGACAATGATGTGCGAGAGCGCAAGCACCGCCACCCCGCCAGGGGCGCCTCCCTCGCCGCGGGGCCCCTGGACCGCTGGCGCCCACAACCCCGCGTACCCGTGGTCCAGGCCGGCCTGGTGCAAGGCAGCCGGCCTGTCGCTGTCTCTGGCGTGATGCTGCTGGACCAGGAGGGCCGCGGCCTCTGCCCGCTCGCAGATGCCACCGACGCGCGGCGCCAGGGACCCCCCCGCCATCACGCTCGCTGCGAAAATGCTGCCCTTCGCCATGGCGCCAAACCACGTTCTGGGGATCAGCAGGATCCTAGCAAGGCTGGAAGCTACCGCTGGCCAGCGCAGCGCAGCGGGCGCGCGCGTCTGACTCCTCGCCGCCTTCGAGCTCCAGGCCATGCTTCCGCAGCCGCTGCTGGAGCTGCTCCACCAACTCCCCCTCAGGCTGCCAGCGCGGCGCGACGGCTGAGCCGCTGCCGCGTCCAGGCACTGCTTCCTCGGGCGCTGGCTGGGACTGCCCTTTCTACCCTGCGCCATCACGCACCTCCCCTGCGGTGCTGGCGAGGTTCTGGCTGGCGCTGGCCTGCTCCTCGGCGGGGGCCTCCGCGCGCCGCGCCCGCTTGGACATGCACAACTCCGCAATGCGCACGCCCAGCGCGCCTGCCATGCGCTTCTGCGCCTCCACTGGCACTGGCTGCTCCTCGTTCGGGTGGGCCAACAGCAGCTGCAGCACGACGGCCTCCAGCTCGCCCACCGTGATGCCGAGCCCACCGATGACGTCCTGCGCCATGGCCTGGCCCGCCGGCCGCGGCGGTGTAGCCTGGGGCGCCTGCTGCTGCAGCTGCACCAGCTCGGCCTGCAGCGCCACCCGCTGCTCCAAGAGGTCTGCATGCACCTTCTCCGCGCGCTCAACCTCCTCCACAGCCCGCCGCGAAGCCTCCTGCGCCGTCCGTTCGTTCCCCCCGGCTTTCTCCAGGCGCTCGGCGCACTGCTTGGCATTGTTGGCGATGGAGTGCGTCCGCGCGAGGAGTGGCTAGCTGGCGAAGAGCCGCGCCTTGGCATTCCCCAACCTGGCGCGCAGCTCCTCCCGCGGTGCCGCGGCCCAGTCCGCCGTCTGATCCTTGATGGCGCGCAGGCCCGACTCGCACAAGTGGACCTCGGCGGGCACCGCCGCGTCGCCAGCACCAACGCCCTCGCCGACGTCGGCCTCCATGGCTTGCGCCCCGCCGAGCGGCCCGCCAGCGCTGGCGGGCCCACTGGCCTTGAGCTGCTTCTTGAGGTCCGCAAGTTCGCGCTGTGCCTGAGCCAGCTGCACCGAGGGCGGCGGCACCCGTCCAGGGATGGGGCCTTGCCGCTGCCACCGCCAAGCGCCGCACCCGACTTCGACTTCGACTTCGACCGGGCCGCTGCCGGGAGCGGAACGTTCGCCCCGAAGCACGTGGCCGTGGGCAGCCTGCAGCCCTGACACTTGAGCGCCGTCCCCCAGTTGACGGCCGCTCGCCCTCTCTTGCTGGCGCAGGACTTGCACGTCCAGTCCTGCCGCACAGCACCCTTGGCCCGCGGCGCGCCGCCAGCCATCTTGCACTCGCTGTCGCCCTCGCAGCGCCTCCAGCGCCCGCCAATGCCAGGAGCCGCCCGCGCGCTGGCACAAGCGTCGGTCTTAACCTGAGGGGGCAAGCCGCGCGAAACGAGAACTGCCGCGGACTAGCGGTATCCGTGTGGCCCCCGCGGGAACCGCACATCTTGAGCAAACGTGGACACGGAGGGAGAAGGGGGAATAAACTCATCCATTTTGAATGTCAACGCTGCTCCCCCGAAGCCAAGGAACCGAAAGTTTCTGTTGCGCCAAGAATGCAAAATCAACACAGCAGAGCCTGACATAAATCCGCCGGCCCCCTTGTGGGGCCACCAGGCTGTAGGCGCGGGTTCGCAGTTTCCAATACCAGTTGCAGCTTGTAGTTTCCAGTGTTACAGTTCTGCTCCTTGCTGGCTACTGTAACTAATTGATTGACCGCGCGAGGGGGGGGGAGGCCCAGACAGGATTTTTTAGCACCCCCTGGGCGCGTTGTCTGAATTGCTGGGGGGGCTCGAAATCGACACCCCTCACGCAGATCCGCGGGGTCAGGGTTCAGAAACACATGGGATTTGCCACATTTCTGAAATTCGGTGCCACCCCTCACGCAGATCCGCGTGGTCAGGTCCAAAGACACAAGGGATTTGCCACATTTCTGAAATTCGGTGCCACCCCTCACGCAGATCCGCGGGGTCAGGGTCCAAAAACACATGGGATTTGCCACATTTCTGAAATTCGGTGCCACCCCTCACGCAGATCCGCGGGGTCAGGGTCCAAAAACACATGGGATTTGCCACATTTCTGAAATTCGGTGCCACCCCTCACGCAGATCCGCGGGGTCAGGGTCCAAAAACACATGGGATTTGCCACATTTCTGAAATTCGGTGCCACCCCTCACGCAGATCCGCGGGGTCAGGGTCCAAAAACACATGGGATTTGCCACATTTCTGAAATTCGGTGCCACCCCTCACGCAGATCCGCGGGGTCAGGGTCCAAAAACACATGGGATTGGCAAAGTTTCTGAAATTCGGCGCCATCCCTCACGCAGATCCGCGGGGTCAGGGTCCAAAGACACATGGGATTTGCCACATTTCTGAAATTCGGTGCCACCCCTCGCGCAGATCCGCGGGGTCAGGGTCCAAAAACACAAGGGATTTGCGACATTTCTGAAATTCGGTGCCACCCCTCACGCACATCCATCGCAAGGCGTGGTAACCCAAACTGCGAGTACTCCCTCGGCCCTTTAATCCCAAGGTGTGGTAACCAAGCTCGTAAACCATACACGTCTTACCAATCGCCCTTTGTGGTAACCCCTCTTGTGATCAGTTGGTTTTGCCGATTGCGAATCGGCCTCGCATGAAGTTCCGATACTGCTGCACGACAGCGCCAAAGCCTTATGACTTAGTTCTTCCATGGCCCATTCTCCGAGAGAGGGGGCCGGCGGCAGGGGGCGAAGCCCTTACGGATAGTTCCTTGCCCCAAAAAACTGTCGCGCGAAAACTGGAAAAACTTGATGTCGTTGGAAGTCGAACGGGTCACGCGGATATGCAACATAAACTTTTGGAAGCGGATTTTCCCCTACACTGACGAGAACTTCAGGGTCGCCTGGGGAGCCAACCGCGCACCCGAGCCGTCTGGCAGAGCAGTCGCGCGCAAGACAACACTGCATTTGGCCAAGCGGGACCCGTCCAACCGCACGGGACATTCCCTCCCGCCCACTTCCCTGGGCCCTCCCTCTTCCTCCTGCATGTCCCAAGGCCCCTCTGGTTCAGTTCAAAGCCCCTCCTTCCTGGTTGTGCATCAAGGGTTCAGGCACTTGCTTTATCGGGGCCGCGGCCCGTTCCTGCACGGCACGCACGCCGCACCCCCAAAACTTGGTCCGTGGGCGTCATTCAAACCGCTGCGAAGGGCAGCGAGGTCCGAACCACGACGGCGCCCCTCCCAGAAGTGGCAGCCGCGCGCAGTCGCACGCGGTCGCGCACTCGAGCAGTCTCTGTTGGAGGTCACGGCTGTGACACGCGCACCGGCCTCCCCCCTGTGACCCAGGAAGGCAGAGCATGCAGAGGCCTCCCAGATGAGGTCGGAGTAGATGGGGTCGGAGGATCACGCCGCATCGCCGATACATCGGCGATGCATCGCCGATGCATCGGCGATGCATCGGCGACATCGGCGATGCATCGGCGACGCCAGCGTGGAGAAAATAGGGCTCCACATCGAGCCTCATCGCCGATGCATCGCCGATGCATCGGCGATGCATCGGCGATGCGGCGCGATCCTCCGACCCCATCTACTCCGACCCCATCTAGGAGTCTTAGAGCATGGGACTTGGAATGCCCACGGGAAAACTGGATTTACGCTGTTACACTCATGTTTCTGTTTTTTCCTTGATTTGAGCAGAGCCCTAGACCTCTCACGAACTGGACCTGGCTGGGGGGCTGAGGGTGCCCAGCACCAGTTCGGGCCAGCAGGAAGGGGAGGAATAGGTTCGAGGCTCTTGGTGTTGAAACAGATCTGGGGGTTAACAACTGCACCAAATAGACCCGGGAAGGGAACTGATTTTTAGAGGATTTGGCCTTGTCCCTCTCTTGGCAGATTTTCTCGTTGCCTGTCCAACTCAGATTCATCAACCGCCTCCAACTTTCGAGGTGCGCTCCCTAACACCCGCGGATCCGAATGTTTCAACTCGCGGCCTCACAGGTCCCGCCCCCATCTTCCCAAGGAGTAATTGTTTGTCCTGGATGCATGTTTGCAGTCGGACCTAGGCCAGAATAACATCTCTCAACACGAGGCCCTCCGTGGCGAGGCAAACAGAACCTCCCAGAACACCCTCCCCCAGGATGCACAATAACATCAAACAACCACGAAAAACACGAGGACGCCCTCGCCGAACCGACATCGATCTTATGCCTCGGTCCGACTGTCCGCAGAGACATCCGAACCCTACCCCCACCATCAACCATCCACTCACCCGAATCGATGGGAGGCGATGGTAGGTCTCGGACTTCGCAGCGTGTCCGACGAATTCCCAACCCTACCCCCGCCGCCCATCGAGAGTTGCCTGAATCGTCGATCGGAGAGGGCTGGCGGCGGCGGGGATGTTTCTGGACTGCTCGGGACCCCAACAAAAACGGTCAAGCAAATCGGCGCTGGAACGGATCGCGACATCGGATCGGATCGAGACCCGATCGACACCGCATCGGATCGCCCGCGCACCGCCCCGAATCGGATCCCGGTATCGAATCGCCGCTCCCCGCCTCCGGCCGGCCCTGGCCGATGCCAGTGAGCGGAGCCGGATCGCATCGAAGTGGAATCGCAGCCCCGGGCGGCGAGTCGGCTCGCCTCGAGTCGGCTCGCCGGGGCCCACCGCGGATATAGCTCTGCAGCCCCAGGGCAAAAGAGCCGCGGCCCCCGGAGGCCGAGAGGGCAGAAAGGCCTTCCGAGCCTGCCCCCCCTTTCCTGACTACCTACCAAACCACCCCAACCCAACCCGAAGACCCGAATTTCGGGTTGGGGGGGGTACGGGCTTCATGTGTGTTTTCTCGACGTTCCCCGACCCCCCCCCAACTGGAAATGGAAGGCAAATTCGGGCCTTCGGGTTGGGTTGGGGTGGTTTGGTGGGTGGTGATTTCCTGCTGGCCGGGACCGATGCTGAGCCACATTGGACACGCAGGCGGCACCAAGGCGAGGGCAAGGTTCGGATTCCACCGCCGAATCGATGAAGCGTTCCACAAGCCCCTGCTAGCGGGGCGTCGTCAGTAAGCGGGATGGTGTTTTCAAAAAGTTGATGTGCCGCGCGCGAGTGCAAGGTAACCCCCCCCCCGCCCAGAGTTATGATGATGTATCGACGTGTTGGTCGTCCCGATGCGTCGCGCATGAGTGCGGGGTACATGCCCAGTTTGCCCCGCTCTCGCTTGAAGAGACTCCTTACTCCAGATTTCGTAATAAAAGGGAGGGGGTCTGGACCCTCCAAGAAAAGCCCTTTCAGACCTCCCCCGTGGGAGAACCCCGCAAAACATCGTCCCCAGACCCCCCAGGCCCTCCTAGATAGCCTGGAAGAGACCCCCCCCCGAAATGAGACTCCCTTTATTACGAAATCTGGAATAGCTACCACCCGCTTCCCTAACGCCCCGTTTGCAGGGGCATGGCTTTCCACCTCCAAGGGCCTCGGGCGGGGCCGCAGCGGGCGGGGCCCCCCTCGTGCCGTCGGGCGGGCTCGAGGCCGGCGGCGGGGGCAGCGCCTGTGGGGGGGCAGAAACAAAAAGGGAGTGCCAACGGGGCGCAGCCGGGAGAGAACTGACAGCGCACAGCGGTGGAGGACACCCTGGGATCCTGGCGTCGCAACTGTCGAACAGCCCTGGGGACCATCCCTGGTCGATGCAGCTCGAGCAGAGCAGCGGAAAGGTGGGGTCTGGGGGGCTCGGGCTCCGAAAATTTGGCGATGTGTATATGCTTCCCGCGGCGTCGGATCTCGGGGCATTCGAGGCCGTCTGCCAAAAAAGAAAGTGTAACACGTTTGCCGTCGCTCGGACGTCCATTTCCCGTGCATTTGTCGGTTTCGTGTGTGTTTTTTGTTGCTCGATGGTGCAGGATGGTCCTCGATGGTTCTCGCCGAGAAAAAAAGCACACGTCCGACCGATGCCAGGCACGCTGACGGGCTCCCACCAGCGGCATGTCGTTTGTCCTCTTCTGCCGCTCAGAGCCTGGGGTGCGCCGTCCGGCGCGTGGCTGGCCCGCGAGCCGCCCGGGAGCGCGCCTGCGAGCCGGGCCGCGCGCTCCGCGTCCCCCAGGTCTGCGAGGGCCTCCTATGAGAGGGGGTGCAGACGGGCCCAGGAGGACACAAACCCGCCGTCCCATCGGCGTGTGGAAGACGCTGTCGTCGTCGTCGTCGTCGTCGTCGTCGTCGTCGTCGTGGTCGTCGTCGTCGTCGTCGTCGTCGTCGCAATCTTGGGGTCATCGTCCTCCTCCTCCTCCTCCTCCTCCAGCGCGCCAGCCACAGCGAAACGGGACCGACAGCCAAAGCGAAACCGAACCGAACTTGAGCAATGTCGTAGTTGGCTCGAAGGGGAGCCCCTTCCCTTTGATCCCTTCCCCCCCAGAGGGGGGGGGTCCCGTGGGGGGTGGAGGGGATGTCCCTTGTTCAGTAACCCAGAGAAGCAATTAAGGACCCCCCCGGCGTTATCATTAGCACCGCGCCGTAATTAAATAATTATTTGGGGGGGTTTTCGCCGAGCGATATTATTAGCACCGCGCAAAAGGAAGGAAAACAAATAATTCCAGCGCCCCGCCTCGGGTGGCATCCCAATTAGAATTGTAATGAGAATAAGAATACGAATACGAATAAGGAAAAGCTGAGAAAAGCTAAGGAAAAGCTTAGAAAAGCTTAGAAAAGCTAAGAAACTGGTCCGTGGGACCCGTGCGATCTGGTGTACCCCCTCCTGGTGCCAGGATAACGCTTCCGGGTGCCGGGTGCGTTATCCTTTCACCGGAGAGGGGGGGGGGGGGGTCCTTAATCGCTTACTCGGTTATACAGTCCTCCCCTGGGGCTCCTGGGGCCAAAATAGACCCTCAGACGGCCCAAGAGTTCCCCAAGACGGTGCACGAGGATTCCGAATCGCCGAACGATCGGTCCAAGACGCCAGAGATAGTCTCCTCACAGCCCAAGCGGCCGCCAAGACACTCGAAGAAGGCTCCAAAAGTACTCCAAGAGGGCCCCGATCGGCAAACTCCCGTTACTTGCCTTAGGTTTTCGAGAGGTACTGGCGTTCTCGACTTGTCAGCTTCCCGACGCTCCAAGACGGCCCCATATACCACGTAGATCGGTTTAATCGGCCCCCAAGAGGTCCCCAAGTCCGCCCAAAACAACCCAAGAGGACCCCAAGACGGCCCAAGAGCCCATGAAGACTTCGAGGAAGGGATGGACTACAGAATTGGTTTGGCCAATAATTGATTTCCTGGTCGAATATACGACAAATACGTGGAATTATCTACGAACATCCTACGTTTTTTGTTCCGTACATTTGACGAGAAAATCAATTTTAGGGAAACGCCAATTCTGTAGTCGATCCCATACTCGAAGATGGCCCCAAAGGCCCCAGAACGGCTCCGAGAGGATGCCCACATGAGAGCCCGAAAGGACATGTCGAGCCCTCGGCCTCGAGTAACTCCAGGAAGGCTCCAAGAGGCCCCCACGAGGACCCCATGAGGCCCCTACGAGGCCCGCAAGAGGCCCCCAGGAGGCCCGAAGAGACCCTCAAGCGGCTCCCAAGAGGATCCGAAGATGCTCCTCAGAGGCCCCCGAGCTGCTCCCCAGTGACCTACGAGCGGACTCCGACAAGGCCCCACGAAGCATCCCTGAGGACTCTGCCCCACGTCAGCGTTGTCGTCGCCGCCGACGCCGCCGTTGTCGTCGTCGTCGTCGTCGTCGTCGCCGTCGCCGTCGTCGCCGTCGCCGTCGTCGTCGCCGTCGCCGTCGCCGTCGTCGCCGTCGCCGTCGCCGTCGCCGTCGTCGTCGTCGTCGTCGTCGTCGCCGCCGCCGTCGTCGTCGTCGTCGTCGCCGTCGTCGTCGTCGTCGTCGTCGTCGTCGTCGTCAGGGTCAACGACACTGGCCGTAAGGCCTTCCTAAGAAACACAACTCGCTCCTAAGATTTCCCATGCTATTTCGGTACTCCCTGGATGTTTCTCTCCCCCTCCGTGTTCCATAGTTCCACGCTTTGTCGTTCAGATCAACGTCGATGCGTGCCTGTGCCTATTTTTCCCCCTCCTGGATCAACCGACCACCGCGCCGACCCTGGCCGCCCGGCCGACCCTTTTTTAGAGGCCTTCCAAACCTGCATGAGGTCCGAGCAGGGAACGGATCGGAGCATCGCGCCGCATCGCCGAAGCATCGGTGATGCATCGGCGACGCATCGGTGCCGTTGGCGTGGAGAAACTTGGCATCGCTCGGACGTGTGCATTCTTTCTCGGCGAGGACCGTCAAGGAGCATTCTGGATCACGTCGCAAAAAAAGCGCGCGCGAAACCGACAAATGACCGGGAAATGGGCGTTCGAGCGATGGCAAGGAAAATCTGGCTCCACACCGCGTCGCACCGCTGCTGCGCTGGCGAAGCGGCGCGGTGCTCCGAGCCCCTCCCCTCGGACCCCGCTGGAGAGGCCCGTAGACCCCGGGCCCAGGATCAGCGTGCACGCTGCCTGGGCCAGGGCCAGGACGACGTGAGACACCGATCCTGTGCTGGACACGCGCGTTCCACGACTCGCGAAACAGCTACTCGCGAATGGCCTGGATCTTCACGGGGGATTTACCATGCATCACATCGCAGTACACGTGCGTGTTTTCAGACGTTTGCGAGCAGGCAATTTGCGAAGAGCGGAACGCGCTCGGTGCTGTGCCCATAATCGGCACAGCAAGGATCCGCGTACCCGAGTCTATCCGACGTCACGGCGCTGCTCACAGCGTTCCCCAAAAGTCTTGACCCTCCTCCCGCCCAGAGACCAGCTCTCCATCCTGCTCTGGGCCTGGATGGCGCCGGGGCCCAGCGAGGATCCCGGGATGCTGGACATGGGCGAGAACCCCTCGCGTGAGTTTTACACGACGCGAGCATCGGCGAGGTGGTCAACAGTCAGTTGGCGAGGGGGAAACACCAAGTGCACATACTGCTGCTCCCCGGAGCTCTCCGGGTGTGCGTTCTGACCAGAGCGTCGAGGCGACTCAAAGCCAGCCGTGGCTCATACGAGGGCCTCCCAGGAGGCCCAAGAAAGCGAAAGCAGCGCATAAAGTGTGGCGGTGTATCGGGAGAACCCCAGGAGGCCGAGAATGCCCGAAGATCTCCCGTCGTGGCTGCTGCACGACGCGAGGATCGGCGAGCTCTGAGATCCGACGACCAAAGCCCTGTAGACCCTGGATCCTAGACCCAACAGTGATGCGGCGTGACTCCGGCCGGATCGACTCGTGATGGCCCGGGGGGCCCGAAGTATACAGCGAAACTGCTCGGTGCGAAGCAAATGCGACGCCGAGACCTCAAGGATGTGGTCAGTGGTCAGTTGACCTCTACGAGGGCCTCTCCCCGGGTGCGTTCGGGTCAGAACCTCAAGGTGCCTCTGGTCGTGGCGACAAGAGCTTCCTCCCAGGAGAGCCAGAAAAGGCGACGACGACGAAAGAGTACTTAGCGGCACCAGCACGTTTTCCTCCTCTGGTGGACTCGGGTGTTCGTTATCGGGGGGCAGTAAACGTGGGCTCAAGAAGAATGTACTTGCCGTTCACCCTTTGGAGCCGTTGTGGCAATTTAGGGGCGCCACTGTCCCGCATACCCCGATCACCCAACGGTAAGTCTATTACCCTTGGTTTAGGGAGCCCACAAAAAACGCACGCGCCCAACCATGTACATAAACACAACTCCTCGATCCTCTAAACTGGCCGCGTGATACGAACACTCGTGCAATGCGTACTCTCGAAACCAACGTGGATTCATGTACGTGTACAGTCGGACCTTTGCCAGAAGAACATCCTTCCTTCGAGAACATGAGACCCTCCGTCGGCCAAGACGAACAGAAATTCCAAGGGTACCCTCCCCCAGGTTGCGCAAGAACATCCAGCAAACGCGAAGAACGCTAGGGTATCCTGCCCGAACCGACCTCGATCTTATCCCCTGGTCCGACTGTACCCCGATCGCCCCGCGTTACATCTGTTGCCCCCGTGCTGCCGTTCGCCCAACTCGAGGGCCGCCCAGAGCGGCCTCTGAGACCTCGATCTTATACCTCGGTCCCACTGCACCCCGCTCTCCCCGCGTTGCCGTTCTCCAGAATCGCTTGACTAAGGGAACAAACAATGATATAAACAAAAAAAACTCGGAGGTCTGCGCGGATTTCTCGGATCCGCGCTGGACCCCCCTTCCTGGCGCGCGGAGCGCGCCAGGGGCTCCAGCGCGGACCCGAGGAATCTGCGCGGACCTCCGAGTTTTCATGTCTACGTCACTGTCCGTTTCTCGACACAGCTCGCCCGACGCCCCCCCGGGAGTCCTCCGCCTCCGGCTCGGCCTCCTCTACGTCGTGCCGGCCCCCCGCGCCGTCCTGGGGCCACGGCACAGGAAGGGGGGGGGGGCTCACCACCAGCGGGGAGACCGCCGCTGGGTCGATCGACGGCGCGCGAGGGGGGGAAGGCGGCGGCGGAGGAACAGGATGAGGTCGGGCGTGTCCTCCTGCAGGCGGATTCGGTCGGGTGTTACTAGAAGTGCCCCTGGCGGCTTTTCGCTCCATTCTTGAGCCCCTGGGGCCCTCTGGGCCTTGTGAAGGGTGCCCTGGAGGCCGTCTGGGCCACCCCGAGAACCCTGGGGGTACCTTGGGCCAGGGGTACTTCTAGCAACACCCCATTTGGGAGGGAAACTGAAACATAGCCAGGACACAATCGAAAAAACGTCCCCAGGCTCCTTGTGGAGAGTAAAATCTGAAGATTACCCCTGTAGAGGGACAAGGCCGACTCAAAAATGGGAGGAGTCGGGGATCTCCTGGCCCGGGTCAATCCAGACCCGGGTCAGTCAGGCCTTGCAGAATCCTGCAAGATCCTGCACCCAACCCCGGGCCAAAGCGAAAGATCCTGCAGGGCCGTGCAGGATGCTGCACCCGAGCCCAGGCCAATGCGACCCTGGCCCTGCAGGACGTTGCAAGATCGGGCGCTGTGGCTGACCCCCGCTTGCATTGACCCCTTCTTCCCAGACCCCCGACGTCATGATTTTTTGATGACGCGACCCCCAGAGGTCCCGACCCATTCCCCGGGACAGGTTTTTCGTCCTGAGTCGTTTTTTGACGGTCCCGAGGCCCGGCGAGGGCCCCCGGACGCCGAAAATAGCGAAAAACCTCACGTCGTGATTTTTTCACGACGCGAGGAGGTCTGGGTTCGGGGCTCCCGAAGGAGGAGGCCCGCAGGACCTCAGGCCGGCCCCGGCGCGCCTCCAAGAGACGGCCCCGGCCGGCCCCGCGGGGCCCTCGAGGGCGCCGCGGGCAGCCCCGCGGAGCACCTCGCGCGACACCTCCAGCCGGGCGAGCGAGGGGGCCCCGAGGAGTCGGCAGCGAGCGAGGGGGGGGGGGGAGCAAGAGAAGGTTGAGCAGGGACCGACCGTCCCGGTCTTCCCACAGTCCTACCACGAAATGCTCGTAGAACCAACAAATGCTTCAAAAACAAAAAAACAGTGTGTTTAGAGCATAGAGCCGATGTGATAAAACAGAACGGTCCCAACCAGGAATGTTCTAAGAACATTTCGTGGGAACCACAGAAAGTTCTTAAAACATTGTTTGGTGGGACTATGAGCACGCCAGGACGCTTCGCCAGCGCTTGAAGAAGGCCTTCTCACAGGGCGGCGGGACCTCTCAAAGGCCGTCCCACGTTCTGAGAGAAGTGTGCCGTGACTCCCCTGAGAGATCCGACGCTGCTGAATAATGGCCGCATCGCAGTGGAGCGAAAACGACCGGCTTGGACAAAATGGGTCGCCAAGATCTCAAGGTCTGCGGGGGTACTTCCAGCAACACCCGAATCTCGTGAGGGGTGCCCTGGAGGGCGCCTGGGCCACCCCGGGAACCCTGGGGGTACCTTGGGCCAGGAGGGGGAGGAGGAGGAGGAGGAGGAGGAGGAGGAGCAGGAGGAGGAGGAGGAGAAGGAGGATAGGGCATGGATGCTAAGGGTGCGCCCTCAGGCGCGACGTCACCTCCAAAGTGCCTGCGGACGAGAACTGACGCCAACGCCGCACACATCTAAGAGGGCCTCCGCAACCAAAACTCAATCCTTGAGGAGCCACGCCAATGCTTCTTCCTCTGCGTCCAGAGGGCCAGCAGGCAGCTCCTCGAATTCCGAGCTTTCGTTCTCGGGTCCAGGCCTTCGTCCCGTCTCGGCGCCCCGCACCTCGGAACTGCGCGCCTCGCCAAAGGAGACCCCCCGCCGACCCCTCGGTCCGAAGCTCTCGGCAGCTTGCAGCTTGCAGGATGGCTTCGGCCTCCTGCCTATGACGAACAGCTTCGCGGATGGCAGCTGGGGCTTCTTCCCTTCTAGGATAGAGCGCCTTCTTGTTTGATTCTCGAAGGGTTCCCCCTGCCTTCCCTGGTTGAACCAAGGCAGGGATGTCTCAGATGACGGAAATACGCAATCGCAAAGCGGCCGCGCGAATGGCAGAAATGCAAAGAGAGGGGCCCCACCATCCCATGCAGTTCGTGGGGTGGGTCCCCAACGCAACGCCAGACTGCAGCTCCTCCCCCCCTCGCTCGGTCGCGGGGCCCTCGCCTCGATCGCGGTCGGCCTGGCGGGGGGTGGGGCGCGCAGGGGGTCGCGCAAAACTCGAGAAGGTCAGCAGCGCGCGTGATCTGCAAGCAGCTGCTCAACTGCCACTTCGACCCAACCTGCTGGAGCGCGCGCGGCGAGCGATCGATGGCCCGCTGCCGTCGCGATTTCGACGGCGAGCGGGCAGCTCGCACAGGGCGATCGGTAGCGCGCTTGGCGTCGGCCTCAGCCGCCAGCTGGAGGGCACGCCTAGCTCTCTTCCTGACCACAGCAGCCGCGGCGCCCCAGAGGTCACGGCGCGCAGCTTCTTGCAGGGCCCATCCCTCCCAAGCCAGCTCCGCTCCCACTCCCGCCCCCACGTCGGCCGCAGCGTTGCCTGCGGCGAGGCAGCAGCCTCGGGGAGTGGTCAGCTGGGCCTCGTCCTCCTCAGCGTGCGAAGCCGCCCATTCAATCTCGACCCGCCCCGTGGCTCTGCCCCGCAAGGCCTGCCGAATTCTGCGCCGCAGGTCCTCATTGCCCCCATCGTGCTTTTCCTGGGCCCCTGGGGCCAGGCCGTCCTGAGGGCCTGGTGGTCGGTGACAGAAAGCAAATCTCCTGGGGCGCGCTCAAGAGCCAGCGCCAGCGCGAGGGCATCAACCCTGGGGACAGACTGGATTGGCCCCGACAGAGGCTTGATCCTCGTGGCTCCCGTCTGCCAGCACTGCGCGTCCTCATCCCGCTTGACTGTCGCGATCGCTGCTTCGCAACGTCGCCTCCTGGGATCGTCAGACCACCGACCCCCCGACCCGCCCCCGAACGCCGCAACCCGCCCGTCGGCCCCCCGATAGTCGCCCAGCGCCCCCGCGCCAAAAGACAACTCGATGCCCGCGAGGCCTTCCTCACCAAAGCGGGGGGGGGGAGGCGGGCAGGGGGGTGGGGTGGGGTGGGGGGGTCGGCCTCCAGGCCCGCCAGGGCCTGTCCGACCAGCGCGCTAGAGGCCCTGCCGTCACGAAAACCGCCAGCGCTGCCAGAGCACTCCCAAATCCGGTGCGCCAGCGTCCCTGGCGCCGCCAGGCGGCGCGGGCAGGTGGGGGAAACGTCGTGACCCGCCTCGCTTCTGCGGGCCCTCGCCCGCTGGCCTCATCCGACCACTGTGGCAGCGAGGCCCCGCTCACTCCACTTGCTGTGCTGCGCGAAAGCGTCGCTGCTCCCTCAGGATCTGCGACGGGCCCGCGCCGTTCCCCAGGCCGCCGCCCGAATCGTGGAGGGCAGCCTTCCTCCAGAGCTGGTGCTGGAGGTCCCCCTCGGCGTCCGTCAGCAGCGGCCTCGACGCCTGCCTGGACCAGTCGCCCTCGCGCTCGGGTCTGATCGATCGCGTCGCCGAGGCCGGCCCCCAGCCCACGTCCATGAGCGCCGCCTGCGCGGCGCCAAGATGCCCGCGGACGCGCCTCCAACGGCTCTGGCCGTGATGAGCGCCTGGCGGACGCGCCCCCGGGCCCCGACGACGCGCGGGCGCAGCTCGGGGGCCTTCTCCCGCTGCGCCAGCCAGGAGTCCAGGGCGCTCAGGCGGATGGCGACGCCAGGGTCCTCGCCCGCCGCGGCCGCTAGGGCGGTGGTGAGGCACCTCCCCCGCGCGCGCCCCGCCGCCGCCGCCGCCTGGCGGCGCAACTCCTGGACCCGCCACGGCGCCAGCCCCATGACCTGCGCCCCGTGGGCCGCCTGGGGGAAGGCGCCGCTGGCCCAGAGCCCTCTGGGCTCGAGCGCGAGGGCAGCGTTCCGTCTCATCCAGGTGATCCTGGCCGCCCTCCGACGGCCCGCCCGGCACCTGAGTCCGCCCTCGCGGCAGACTCGCTAGCTGCCCGCCGCCGCGTCGCAGCCGAGGTCGATCGCCACCGTGGCGCCTGTGACGGGCACGCACGGCCCCGCCAGCGCGGCGGCCAGGTCCTCGGCCACTCCGCGTCCGAGGCCAGCGCCGCGGTCTTCTCCGAGATCGCGAGGCCACGCTCCCTGACGAAGCCCTCCACGAAGACAGCGCCGACGTCCTTGAAACCACGCGTGACCTCGCTCTCGGGCCCCTCCATCTTCGCCGTCGCGTCGTTCGCGAAAGCCCAAAGGTCGCAGCTCGAGGCCGCCTCGTGGGCCCTCTGAAGCACCTGGCACATGTGCACCTCGGCGAGGCTCGCCCCCCTCGCTGAGCCCGCCACGGCTGACCTCGTGGGGCGCGCCGTGTAGCTGAGCCCACGGTGGCGATCGGGGGCCAGGAAGAGCTGGGCCTCGAGCGCGACCACAGCCGGTGGGAACCGGACCTCCACCGCCAACTCCATCAGCAGCGCCAGGCTGATGGTGTCGCAGAAGGTCTTGAGGTCCAGGAGCAGGGCGCCCGACGCGACGTGGAGCCCCCTGCCCTCCGCGTCGAGCACCGCCCTGCAGAGGGCCGCTTGCAGGGGCGAGCTCCCCTTGATTGCGCCGCCCCAGAAGGCCCCCAGCTCCTGCGTCCAGACCTCGACGGTCGCCACTCGGGCCTTGCTCCGGGCCTTGGCCAGGACCGGCATCACCCCCAGGACGCGGTCACCCTTGACGGGCTTGGGCACTGACGCAGCGAGGGCCGTCATGCACTGCCTTGACCAGCAGCCCGCCGTCTCGCAAGAATTGGCCAGGTCCGCGAGCGCCTGCTTGGCTGTCTGCGGCGGCCTGTCGACGTCGAGCGAGCCCAAGACGTCGACGCCCATCGCCTGACTGTTTCCGATGGCGCGCGCCGCGGCCTCCAGCTCCTCGGCATGGAGCGGCGGCAGCTCCTCCTGCCTGGCGACCTCCAGCGTCCGCTGAAGCTGCTCCTGCAGGCGTTGGAGGTTGGCCTCGGTGCCCTCTCAGAGGCCTGCCCCACTTCTCCGCGCGCGTGCCCATGATGCCGCTGGGCGGCGCGACCGCGGCCATGCCGCCCTTCTTCTGCACGACCAGCTCGTTGGCCACTGGCTTGTCGGGTTTGACCGTATCGTGGAGGAGCCCAGCCCGTTCCTTCCATGCCTTCGTTGCCCAGCCGACGAAGGCCCTGCGGCCCTCGCCTATGGCTGGGGCCTGCCCCCTTGCCGCCAGCGTTCTGGTGACGTCCAGCAGCTTGCCCCTCGTGGGCGCGCTGATGTTGCCCAGCTTCTTCGCGCTCTCACAGCATCCCTCGATCAGGTTGCCTTTTCCGT